AATGTAGGTGGGTTGTCTGAATTAACATGTACACTAATATCAATTGTCTCAATCCGCCACTAGTTTCAGAAGATAAATGTGTATCAATTCCAAAGATTTTCAAAAATTATTGAATTTTATCTTAATTAAACATGATGATAAAAATTTCCGAATTTTGCTGCAATACGACTGCGCGCGGTCCTTATCATCGGTACCTTTTTAGGTGTACGATTGCGCGTGCTAAATTATTTTTGCTTCTAAGCAACGTTGCCAAATATACAGATTATAGGTGCATGGTAAATATCCGATTAAGTTCTGATTGTGGTGATCCGTACGTTATTTATTATTTAATATCGCCGATACCAAACTTTCCATCACTAAGAGTAGATAATTTTATTTTAGATTAAACTTTTATCTTTATTGTAAATTCCCTCACATGTACGAATATACCTAAACTATGATCTCGCGTTTTATGTCTATACGTATTTACTGAAATGTCAGTGTGTTCGTGTTTTAGCTGTCAACGTATATTTTTCGCATTGTTAACATTTTATAATTAATTTTTTAGAATGGAAAATGAAATTTTCATAATAAGTTCAGAAAGGGGGAGTAATTTGTTAGTGGAGAAGAAACACAAATTTCGACACATCAGACAGCGGGCAGATGGAAATAACAGATGGAGGTACTGTAAAAAACAGTGTACTTTTACAGTCTTAATGAAAAGTGACAATAAAATAATGATAGAAATTGCTGGTGAGCATAACCACTTAGTAGATTTTATTCAAAAAATCAAAAGGCAAGTTCTAAGGGAATACTGTAAACGTAAAGCTACAATTTCCATAGCTACCCGGCCAATAAAAATAATTAGAAGTCAACTTATGAATAGCGTGAGTACCGAATTAGAATAAAATGATATAAAATCAATTAGAAAGGCTATGCATATTCAACGAAAGAAATACTTTCCTCCTTATCCTTCATTTTTAGAAGTTGCCATTACGTAACTGAACGAATTTCAAAATGAAGATTTTTTAATGTTTAGTGAGAAAAAATTTATACATTTGATGATTGCACTTTTATTTTCTTAACAACTGAAGAGAATCTTCAATGTTAGACAAGTTACACAGATATATTTACAGATGGAACATTCGAGTATGCTCCAAAATTTTTTTTGCAATTATACACAATTCATGGCTATAAAAACGGTGTTTACGTACTTTTGGTATACTTTTTTTTAAAGGATAAATTTAAAAACACATACATAAATGTACGGAAATATTTAATTAATATATGTGAAAAGCAATCACTACTTTTTAAAATTTAAATATTACACATTGATTTTGAAATTGGTGCTATTCAAGCAACAGAAGAAGTTTTTCCGAATGTCAAAATTAAAACATGCAGTTTTCACTTAGGACAAGCTTGGTGGCGCAAAGTAAGCTGAATCAATATGAATATTTTTAGAAATAATTATTCAAAATTAATTTTCAGATTAATGGCAATTCAAAGCTAAGAATGGCTTACAAAGATCAAAAGAACAATTTACAATTATGGCTTAAATCATTTTTTTGGACTTTCTTTCATCGCTCCAGATGACGTGGAGGATGTTATTGTAGAGCTTATAAGTACGTGTCCAAATATTACAGATGGAAAACTTTTTTTTTGACTATGTTTTGGAGACGTATATTGAACCTGGTTATTTATTTCCACCTAACTTTATGGGCTGAAACGCCATCACTAAATCCTAGGTATATATTTACTAATAAGCCAAAAAAAAATATTGTTTACTATATTCATACATTTTCAGAACTACAAACGGGGCTAAAGTTTCCATAGAACATATAACACTCAGTTTACTAGTACTCATCCTCCGACATCTGTTGTTATAAGTACGCTTATGAAAACTCAAGCAGAAACCGTAACTAAATTATTAACCATTTCCAAAGGAAAAAATCAAGCCAAAATCAAAGGAAGAACTAAAGATAATCGAATTTGTGAGTAAACAACATGAAGAATATCTAAAAAATAAAACACCAGGTATCAGGACTTTAAAATTTAAATTTTTTTCGATATCTATTCGAATATTTTATATAATTTTATTATAACGATTTTTTTATTGAGGTAGACTGAGTGTGAATATAAAGTATCTGTTATTTTTTGTCACTATTTGTACTATTTGTAACTTTTTGTACTATTTAACCTAACAACATATACGACAAATAACAAATTTTTTATAATTTTTTTAATAATAATAATTATTTTAAGTTTTATTAATAAATTGGCAACGTCGCATCCAATTTCATCAATCTTACGCTTTTGAATAGTCAAAAGCATGTTCTTTGTTATTCCGGCACCGCGCGCAATCGTACTCCACCGCCGAATTTAAATTACTGATGGTATACCAAATTGTTTTATATACAAACAAAACGGACATATTTTTTCTACATGCAAGTACAATACAGAAAAAAAAAAATACACAAATTACCTCTCTTGATTAAATAGCCTCATCTTTTCGTTCATCTAACATCCAGTTGAACACAGAAAACCGAATGGAACCAGACTTTATTGTTCCCAATACCAAAGGGCCAATAATTAATTACATCTTAGACAGGACTTATTTTAAGGATTTTATTCAAATACGCATTTTTTAGTAAAGGGGACCTGGAACCGATAAACCCCGGGACCATCAAAAGTTCTCGTCGGTCCTGATTTTTGGTATTCAGTTTAGTGAACAACATTAAGTACTAAGTAGACATAAAAAAGTATAAATTTATACATTTTAGGAAAAGATTGCCATTTTGACGACATGGGTTATTTGTTCCAAAAAAACTAAACTAAAACAATTTATCCAACTATACCTATAAAATGTTTTTAATAATATTTATAATTATAATTATACTCACAAATCTAGGTATTTTAATCGAAAAAATATTAAGAGGCGATGATTTTGGGCCAACTCCATGGAGCTCCAATTAACATTATTTTATATGAATATTATGATAATAGAACTATTTGATTCGAGATATGAGCGTGGATTGGCCATTAGGAATGACTATATCTCAAAAGTGTATAAAATATGTTTTTTAATTATGTAAATTAAATAAATTATATAATAATTTTGAATAGTGTTTTAATTTTTAAAAGTATAACACTATAACTAAAATGATTTGAAATATTCATTACATGAGTAAATTAGTAATAATAAAATATTGTATATTTTAGATTTTGATTATCATCGTAGTTCGGAAAATTCGTAATGTAGTCGGCAATGCGATAACGACACACACAAATGTAATTTTACTACTCACACAATCGCAAAGTCTAAATGTACGAGTACATGTAGTATAAAATGGCTAAATACTATTGCTTAAAACGTGCTATGCTCCAACAACCCTGATGCTCGTTTTACCTCGTAAACTAGTAAAAAACATTTCCAACTTAAATAATTTGTTATAATATATACGAATCATAAAAATTATATAGTAGTCTCCATTCCTATTCAGAGATGATTTCGACACATGCCGAATAAATTTGACAATATCTACATATTTTATGCCGCGTGGCATAATTTCCGCTGTATCTAATTGTGTATTAATATACAGACACTATAAGCCAACAGCTAGGAATACGCAAATAATATCGATGTTGACATGGTGATAAAAAATATTATCATAATATTTTCATGTAGATAATTTTCTAAGTAACTCTGTGCTATACATATATATAAAAGTGGGAATTAACTAGTTAAAAAGCAAATTTTATTAACTATTTTTTTATTTAACTATTTTTTTTTATTTTTTTAACTAGTTAGTTTATTTGGCAGTTGAAATAACTTAACTTTTCAGTTGATTTAAAAATGGTCAGATTCAATTTAAAAAAATTTGAAATTTCTTATTTATACGTAAATATTAATGTAAAATTAAATAATCATGTAAAGTAGAATAGTCGCATACATTGTATATTAGTGGTCATACTAGATTTTGTAGTTTGGGGGCCCACCTTTGGGTATTGAGTTCTAGCCGCGGATACAGAATGTTATATGTCATGTATTTTTCAAACACTTCGACGCCACTGCTGTATATTATGATAAAAAATTCAATAAAATTGTTTATTATAATTTAGGAAATTATATATTTTAAAGAACGCAGTCACTTTTTATGTGATAATTTATACATACTAATTAAAAAAAATAAATTACCTTTGCATATATATATATATATATATATATTAAACAGTGTGTAAATGCTAACTGAAAACACAATATCTTTGCGTAAAGACCAATGTAATTTCAATTCTGTTTTTTTAGTTGGTTTTTATTACATAAAAATACACATTATAATGATCTTCATTTTTTTTTTAACTTAATTAGGCAGGTGCATGCACAGTACAACTTTTTTTTTCTTAAACGGAAACTACATTAGAAAATAAAAAATAAAATAAACTACATTACATTACAATTCGCTACATTAGAAACTATTGGAATGAATGGAATGTATTAAAAATTAATAAAAAATTTAATTCTTATTTCAGTTAAGTTTATTTAATTTCTAAATAATTTAACGTAAAAATTGTTCAAATATTTGACTAAATCTATCCTAGATCCATTTAATGTAGCGATAAAGAAAATAAATAAATAAATAATAATAAAGAGCACTTTTATAAATTAGATACCTACTGGCAATTATTTATAATATATAAATTATTTTATTTTAAAAACGACATTAATTCAGCAATATGGTAGTGATGTAAAGCTTAGATAAATAATAACGTAGCATTAAGACAATATAAATACATACACATACACTCACACAGAAAATCAAATATTCTTATTTCAGTTATGTAAAGTTTTTGAATATATTTTGTTTCAGTTACTAAAGAATAAATAAAAAATATACATTAAATATATACAAAATATATTTGAAATCAATACATGAATAGCTTTACAATTAAAATAAGTCCAAAATAAAATGATTTTTCTTTAAAAATATAATAGATAAATTATCTAATAATTAAAATTATCAACAGTTCAAATTATTTAACAAAAGTAACTCTCAATGGGTTCATTGACATATTTTTCCATTTGTTGGATAGCTTTGCGAGTTTTTTGTTCAATTTCTTCTAGTTCATCTTCCATCAATTCAGCCAAAAATGGTATTGAATCTGGTAGTAATGGTAAGAAATTTTCTCCTAGTCTCTCTGCAATAACCAATATAGTATCAATGCATACTGATCGGACTTCAGGTAAACGATGTCTAGCTTTAAGCATAATCTGACAGTTTACATCTTTCCATAAGGTGTCATCTGTTACAGCAGCTATTAAATTTGATATACAAGGTATTACATAATGTTGACATACATTGTTATAGTCTTCCAAGTCTACAGCTTCCAAAAGATCAATTAGTGGGTTCATAATAATTTCAAATCGTTCTTTTGTAGTAAAATTTATGGTATCATATTTAAACACATTGGAAAGTGTAGAAACTATAGATTGTATGAGCAATGTTTTTTCTTTTATTGTATTGGTTTTACATTCAGTTAAAATTGAATTAGCAGTGGGTATCAAATTTCCAGCAAATAAAAGATACAAACCTTTAAGCTCACTTGATAACGCATTTAATAACTTGAAATAGATTAATACACAGATATCATTTTTTGCACCATTTTTCCATTCATGAAGTTTATGATAGAATGTACGGAATGTTGATTCTGAACATTTTAATGCTATTTCACTTATTGCAGATATAACTGAACTTTCCACCAAAATTGTTTCTGTACTTTCAGATTCATGAGTAAAACAACAAAAATCTAAAGATTTTAACAGGAATGTGGTAAATTCTTCAGTCATGGCATTTTTAAAACTATTTTTTCCTATGTTCAAAACATATTGGAATGCTGTAAATTTAAGGTTCTTAACAATTTCCATTAAAGTATTACTCAATGCAGGTTCTAAAATTCTTCCCGGAATTTCAGACAATTTTTCACCTAATTGTTGGAATTTGGTTTTTATTATAGATTTGTAGTTATAATTTTCATCGGTTGAATTGTCATCACATGTAGCTGACAATAATGCCAATTCATATATAAGAGGTACCAGATAAGGACTCAAAAAGTTTTTAAGTTCTGATATTATTCTTAATAAACCAGTTAATATACTTGGTAATAAAGCACCATCAGTCATAACACTAATGTCATTCAGTTTATGCAAAACAGAAATAACTGTTGGTATTATCAATGCAAAACTGGAAATTGCTTTAGTTTTTAAGCCAGACACCAACTCTGCAATACATAGTACAAATGTTCCAAGTAATGGTCCAACAGATACCTCTTGCACAGATTTTGTAACTTTCTGTAGGATTCCTTTAAATATATCTACATTTTCATTAATATTTGAACATTTAGTAACTAAAGTAATGGAAATAAGAGCAGTTTGCTGAACATTCAGATCTTCTTTTGTATTAAAGTTTGACATATTTGCTATTTTTGATAGAGGTTCAAGTAATTTTAAAGTTTGCTCTTGGGTCAATGACTTAGATTCTAGTAATCTTTTATTTAGTAAATCCATAGTTCTATGTTGTGTTGACTTAAGAACAACAAAAGTCAAGATGTAATTAATAGCATCGACAAATATATCTAGTGGAAGTAAAGCATTAACTTTATCCAAAATACTATAATATTTGATAGGCATAAAGTTTATAGAATAGTTATTATGACCTTGGCGTTGAACAAACCATAAAGTATTTTTTATTATTTCAGTGAACCCTTCTTTTAATGTAATGTCATTTGTACAATACATTACTTTTGATACAAAATTGTAAGACGATAGTAAGTTAGTTAAAAAAGATACTAAGCAATATTTTAATTTATGCAATTTGTTTGCTGAATAGTGTGAAATGTCAATAAGTGTAGCTTGATCCGAATCTCCTTTTTTAAGTTCAACAAATTTACAGTAATTTAATATACTGTTGCAAGTGTCAAGTAAAACATTTATTGGGCATTCAGCACAGATATCTAGACAAATAGTATTACTAGATACTTTGTTTTTCATATCTATTGTACCAGATATGTATTCTCCGAGTACAAGAACAATAAGCTCCCATAAATAACTGTTAGTATTCAAGGCTTGAACAAGGTATCTTAATAACGTTCCACGTCTATGCTCAGGTATATCTAAAATACTACGAGCAAATACAGATAATGCTTTTCTAGTTACAGTTTGGCCTTCTTTCAATAAAATAGGAATAATAGTATTTAATACTTGACAAGTAATTTTAAACGTATACTCATCATCTTGGCGCATAACAGAATTTCCCATAAATGTGAATATAGTCATTACATGTAAAATAATTTGCTCTGGCACCATTTGAGCACAGTTAGACAACAAAAGTAATGCATGATGTTGTGTTTGTTGATTTTGAGATAAACGCATGGTTGAGACAATTAGTTCTAAGTTGAGGTATTCAGAAATTTTTGATTTTTCTAAATCATTTTTAGTTGTTGTACAACAATTTAGAATACAACTTAAACATAACTGTTTTGTGTATTCTAGTAAACTTGATTGATCTTCAAACTCTAAGCATTTTTTTAGTATATGAAATAAAACAGGAATCAACCGAGTGACATTCTCTAAACTATTTTTATTTTGTATTAACTCCAACAGAGCAATTCCATTTTTCCATCGAACACTATTCGGTGAATCATCATACATTTTTTCAATATGTGAAATGAACATTACACTATCAAAATTAACTTCATGAATAAAACTTTTGATAGAGTCTATAATATCATTATCTTCAACTTTTGCTTGTAAATCAAGTAATGTTTTTATCAAGTTCAATTTAAAATCATCAGACATAGTATTAAACATTTCTGTTGAAAGGGTTTGGACGAAAACTGTTACAGGACTAACTAATTTTCCAGTGCCAAAATTTAATATAGGATTCGTTTCTCTTAAATATTTTTCACATATAGGCCATATTTTATTCCAATCTATAACACTTGGATGAAGTTTATTAAGAGCAAATTTTAAAATGTGCGATTCGGCAACATCAATTTCTGATTTTTTTAATAACTCTAAGCCATGACTTAATGCGCTAAAACATATATTAAATGAGTTTAATGCTGATAAAATGTCAAAAATTTTAAGGCGTAATGCGGAAGATATATCAAAATTGCATGCAGTTTTAAATAGATTATCCAATGTGTTTTTAGCATCAATGTTATCCATTTGAAGTATAAACATCAAAACTAGACGTATTTGGTCACCATCTACTAGAACATCTTGACGTTTAACGAGGATATTTTTTATAAACCACAAGTAGGATGTGTTTGTCTCTTTGTAAGTTTTATTTATTTTTTTAAAACAAGTTATTGCTGTTTTTCGGTACTGTTGTTCATCAGAAGCCAAGCAACACAATAGTGTTGGAATAACAATATTGTCAGGAGTTAATAATATTAAAAATGAAGCATTTTTATTAATAAGAGAGTTAAGAGAGTTACAAATCTGTGTAATTTTAATATTTTCAACCCATAAACTTTCACAATAAACTCGAATACGTTCATCATCACTTGAATACTGTTTGGTAAACATACTATCTTCAATTTCCATATCATTATTTTCAGGTTCTTTAATTATTACATCTACATCCATTTTCTCATCATTTGATGTTTCATGTAAATTAGTGATACACATGGAATCATTATTTTCTAAAATCTGCAAATCTTGTAACAACTTTATTGAATTTTTCCATGATTTTTTATATTTATTTTTAACATTTTTAACTAATTCTTCATACCATGGCTCATGAATAGTTGATTCAATTATAATTTTAACCAATTCAATAGTATAGTCATCTTCTTTTAAATCTATACCATTTATTAAATTTGATATAAATGAACTAATAGATTTTTCTTTCTGTGAAAGTATTATACTATCTCTAATAATAAATAAATAAAATATACTCTTATCGTACATTAAAAGTTTTTTAAAAGCATTTATTTGCAAATCAGAATTTTCAGCCATGTACTTAATACAAGTATCAGATATTTTTACATTAGGCATATTTCTTGATGATTTGTAGATAACACTTATTAATAAAATACAGTTGTAGTATAGTTGCTTGTGTTGGACAAACAATATTTTTTTAATCAAACTTACTAGTAACTTTTCAGTATATGTTATATATTTAGACATAACACCAATAACAATTAAAGAAGAAACTGTGAATGATCTTGTATTGGATTCAAGTCCACTAATTATTGATGGAAGAAATATTGTTATTAAATTATTCTTTGAAATAGAAGATGATTTAAAAGCAGCAACTAAAAGTTTGGCATAAAAATTAGTCCACACTGTTACTAAATTTTCATTTGTTGTATGTTCCTCAACTACTTTGATAATAAGTGAACATACAAGTTTTAATAATCTTGTATCATTGATTGCCTCTGCAATAAAACTTTGTTCATTAATTTGAACACCAGTTTTTCTTGATCTCGTTAACCACCACCATTTTTTAGCAACTTCAGGATTATTTTTAATAGGAATTACTTGAATTAATCTTGTGAATACTTGGGTTGAAACATATGGTAGAGCATAGCCGAGTAAAATATCTGTATTGTATTGCTCAACACTAAATCTATGTACAAGCCATTCAAGGGCATATAATGCTGGTTTTGAGTTGAAGTAAGGAGATAACAAACATAAAAATTCTTCGATCAAACCATCAATTTTCTTATTTTCAGATAAACTCAAAATTGCTCTTTGCTTAGTCTGCCAAGAATGACTAAATAGTGTTGATTTAAATTTAATAAATTTTTCATTTATATCACTTAGATCATTAAGACCTTTCAAACCAACTTCAAAAAATGCTGCCAAATCATGATTCGCTATATCTTTAGGTTGAACAAGAAGTGATGTTTTTTTGTAGCCCAAACTCAAAATAGAAGTCTGAGGTGCACTTAATTTTTGTAATTGTTTTGCAAGAGATGTAGAGGCCATATTCAAAAGCCAATAAAAATATATTAAATTAAAAAAATAATAAAATCACTTACAATTCTAACTCCCCAAAAGATTTAAATATAATTTTGATTTTAGGAGTATAAGCAGACCGATAAATATCTGAAAAAAATAAATTATAACAATCTTAGGAAGTAATAAAATATAGACAGATTTTAATAGATACAACTTATAAAACTACCCACATAAATATTAATGAATATTTTCAAAATATTGTAACTTAATCTTTATTTTTTATTTCTTATTTTCTCTGTAAACAACAAAATATATTCCAAAACAAATTTGTCGTTTGTAAGAAATTCTTTTAGCGAATACATTTTTAATATAATGTTATATTAAAAGCAAGTTTGTTCATAGAAATCAACACTAAACTTTGAAGGTTCCTTGAAAATGGAAGTATAAATTATATTTGATGGTTTCAAGTAGTTCAGTTTTGAAAAAAAGGTGCTTTCTATCTATATTGTATAAAATTACGAAAATACAGGATTCCTTAAAAAAAAAAAATTTGTAATTAATTACTAAAAAGTGCTCTTAAGTCAATATAATATTCTAAGTAAGCATAATTTCACTGAATATATAAATATCTAATATTTTAATAAAAATATATGTAAATATAATCTAAAATCAAATAAATCTTAAAAATATGACTTTCTAATTGTTAATGCTTGATGTACTGGTAGGAAAGCAAATGCATATATACAAAGAAATGGATTTAATTTTAAATTATAAGTACTAAGAATGAAAACAATCTTTTAATCATTAGAAACACAACAAATTAATTAAATAACTTAACAAGTTGGGTGAGATTTTAAGAGATAACCCTAAAAGTAACAAACTTTAGTAATACATAAAAACTTAAACTTCATTATAAATTACAGCAGCTTTAATCGATTTAAAAAATAATAAAATTTTATCATTCTTTGTGACATAAGTTTAAAATCAGATAATTATAATTTTAATAATTCAAAAAGAAATCAAAATAATTACGCCGCATAGAATTTCAAAAATGATTTTTAATTATTAGAACATATAGTCTGGAACTTTGATATAATAGTACTTACATGTTAAATATTTACAGAAAAACTTACATTCTAAAAATTGAACTTGGACGTAAAATATTAATTGCAAACACGTGACTACATTCATCCATCAGTCGTATCTCGTGTAAACGTACTAACACGATTCGTTAGATGATATATCTAGATAATGTTATCATTCATATATTTTTCTGTGGTCCTAACCATAGAACTTATAGGGTCCCGAAAAATATCAGTATATTATACCATGATCATATTTGTTCCAAGGCTATTATCGTTTTATTATTTTACTAGTGTACACCAGAGATTTTAAACAATAACATTTGTTTAAAATCTTTGATGTATACTCCCATCGTAGATATATAATATCACGAACTAAGATAATGAAATAAATAGTAGATAAACTAAAAACGAATGTTGTTAACAAGAATTAATATACATAATTAAGTACAGTGGCGAAGCACGAGTATTTAAGTTGGGGAGACATTAAAATAATACGTTACAACCTCCCCCCCCATTTATAATTTTATATGTAATTATAATAAAAGGGACAAGGTCTTTTATTTTTTATTTCATATTTTTTTTTCGTATGAATAGTTTACTATTCCATCATTCAACATTTCATTAATTAAATCATCAGGCATAGTGGCGAATGACTATAGTACAATATTTTAATATTTAGATATGAATATCACGCCAGAAATAAATAAATCGTAAAATAAAAACCAACCAATAACTACGATAACAAAATTGCGTTGAACGATAACGCATCAACGCGAAAAGCAATGACGATTACAATAATGTAAATTAAAATGAAATAATAAATACGAATGCAAGACATATCTCATAGCGCAATGGTAATCCTCACTCAATAACCTATTACCCCTGCACACCGTGCCTTGAAAAACCAGACGTTGCAACGCGTCGTCTCATAATATTAATTTTTATATCTGTATTTGGATGTTTATAGAATTAACCACTACGCTACAACAGCTCTCGTGCACGTATTACGGCACTTATGTTTGAAATACCAGACATCTTCTCAGTTGAATATTCAAATTATAATTAATTATTAACAAAAGATAAATAAAACATTTTAGAAATACATGGTAATGATTATTAGCTCAAGGAATTAATAATTTATGAAATGTTTTGCTTTTTTGGGATAAACGGTCTATCCGGTGCTCGACTTGAGGGGGGACGCAGGGGGACGGAGTACCCCAACTCATTTTCAGAAATTTTAGCGTCCCCCTACTATTATTATTATGAATTTTCAACTATTTGGATTTAAGTTGTTTTTTTGTTTCCAAGAAATACGGTATTTACTTTGGAATGTTGTGATCAGTGCTCGACTTTAGAGGGACGCAGGGGGACGGAGTACCCCAACTAATTTTCAAACATTTTAGCGTCCCCCTACTATTATTACACAATAATCATAACGTTCAGCCAGTTTTGGGGACGTTCTTTTTTTTAAAGTAAATAGAGTCTCCCTTCTTTAATTTTGCCAAGTCGAGCACTGGGTATATCACAGTTTGGTACGATATATCACTTAAATTTTTTTTTTCTGTAGCCATTAAAATAAAAGCTTCTAGATTGTTCTGTATCATACTGTTCCTATAAACGGTTTTCACCTGAAAAAAAATTACACTCATTATTATAGTATAAAAAACAATTAAAAATGCAATAAATTCGTTTATATTTATTTTACTATTTAAAAAATGTAATGTTCGCTACCTGCTTTAATTTAGAGAAGGCTCGTTCACAAGCTACTTGCGTAATGGATAAAGTTAATATTTTATAAGCTTTATAGTATAACGTATGCTTTACTATACATGTTGTACTTATATTATAAAATAATAAAGCCGCAATAATGTATTTTTGTAGTTTATTTCTTAGTTTATGTCTTAATGACTCGTACACAGATACAGTTATAATAGTTTTTACTTATTAAATATAATTTTATATAAATATAGTTTTTTGTGAAGCTTGTGTAATTTTACAAATAGGTATAATTATTTGTCTCTGAATTATGTACCTGAAATCTCAGATTTACTGGTCTCCATACAAGAATAAAAATAACTCTAATCTTGGCAAGAATTCAGACAATTATCTAGATAAGTAAAAATTTTGTCTTAGATAAATCCCAAAACTGCACGGGCAACGCATGTCTATTACATCGAGACACTCAACGAGTTAAATAGACCAAAAGATGAAAAACTATTATGTATTATAATCTAAAAATTGTAATAAGTTACTTGTACAATCTAATTGTCCGGCCCCATAATTCGATTATTCGACCGGCCCATCAGGAAATTTCCCGATATTCTGATTTGCCAGTCCACCTGCTCCAACTGTTAGTCATTATGAAATTATTTATTATTTCAATTAATTTTTGAGTACTATATACTTGAGTATTTTTAACTGTACAAGAAATAATACATTTCAACACATGATACAAGTATTTTTATTACCTTTATTAAACAAATTATTTGCTATTTATACTTTTAAATGGCGTTCGGAACAGTTACTATACAAATACACAATAAAATCAATGGTAAAATATACTTTATTTGTCTCATGTAACTGTTTAAGTAGATACGTAATCATATTTGTATTAATTTTAACAATTTCTTTTTCTTGACACTTTTTTGTTTCATATTTCTATCGTGTGACAAAGTTTCATTTGCACAAAATTATAATACATAATAATAATTAATACACTATAATAGTCATTGGTCTTAAACTAAGATTAAAATTTAGTAATAGATCATCTATAATCAGCACAATATTGTACTACCTATATATTATTTGTATACAAGTAAAGGCTGGAAAATGTCAAAATTGTCTTTATATTAAACCAAAATGAGTTAGTTCTGCCCACGGATAAACATATATAAGATATAAAAAGATATCTTTAATCTGCGGGGAAGCGCTCGTGTTCTCAGTGAACTCCATATGATAACATATAATATAACTCAAATAACATTTAACGTGTTATCATATAGAGTTCTCTGACTGTTCTGTGATCATATCTATGGTGGTGTCACAGTGATAATATTCTGTATCAACTGATACAGATAAGGTAGAATACCGAAATCCAAAATATCTGTTATTTTCAATTCTGTATTATTTGGTTGAAGTTCTTCATTATTCGTTAAAAACAAAAGTAAGTTATAGACTTTAAATATTTTTGTTTTAAAATTATACTTCTTAATATGAAATCTACAGTAGACGACAATGAGTCAAATAATAAAAATCATTATAGTAATAATTTAACATTACCAACATTTTTTCATGAGGTTTGTGGAAATGGATATACTTAATGAATTTTAATTTTTATAAATATACTAATACATTTTATAGCATCCAATAATAAAATCAATTTTTGCTGGATCTGTGTCAGGACTTTTTTCTACAATTATATTTCAACCACTTGATGTTGTTAAAACAGTCTTACAAGATCCTAGGAAGTATATAAATTGATTGTGTTTTTAAAAACATTATTGTAAAAATTAACATTTTATTATTTTAGTGATAATAAATTAGGATTAATGAATGCCACAAAATTAGTCTGGCAACAAGAATCATTTTTTGGATTTTGGAGGGGATTATCACCAGTAAGTAATTTTAATAGTGAATAGATTTACATAACTGTATTTTAGATAAAATTAAAAATAAAATAAATAATATGGATTAATATTTTTGGATATTATACATACTTATTTAATTTAATGGATCACCAGACATTCTTATATAAAATTAACTTTATGAAATATAATTTTGTGCATATAAGGAATAAATTAAAATTAAGATTTTTCATTAGAAAATTTTAACCAATGTTTTATGTTTTTTTTATTTCTATTTACTATTTAATCACAATAATTTTGTTTAAACAATAGGAAAAATAATATATCTAATTGTTTACATACAATAGGTACATTATTTAGTACCTATATGAATTAGTATTGTATAGACATAGAAGTAAAAAGAAACTATTTCAAAATAATGCTAATTAAATTGTTAAATTAAAATATTTGGTTTGTAACATTTTTTATTGACCTTTGTATCTTCTAGTAGCATAAAAATGATATAATTCATATTTCAGTAGTCTTACAAAAATGTTAATTTTTATACAGTTACAATTAAAATGTTTAAAATAACGAATAATTTGGCCTTCATAGTTACAAAGTTCATTACATATATAAGTTACTAAGTATTTGGACTATCCTGTATACATAAGTTACATTATATTGATATACAATTATATTAATAATTATTTCAATTATCAGAAATTTATTGATGTAGTCTTGTATACTAAATTATGTACAAATAATATGAATTATCAGAATTAAAGGTACTTTTTGTGCCTATATCAGTAACCTTTTAAAAATAATTATTAAATAGGTTTTACGCTGTTATTAGTGAATATAATCAAGATAAAATACAAAATAATGTTAATAGTAAATTGTATAACTGTATAAGACTTGTACTGTATACTGACTAGCTGAATTATAAATTATATTATATGAAAATAATGTTACTAATATTGTATTATAGATATTATAAAAAAAAAAAAGTGAATTTAATACTACCTTCTTATATAGGGTATTCCTCAAGGATTTTATAATTGCAAAACTCCTATGTTGTTCAAAATGGTCATATATTGTCATTTTTCAATAATTTCCACAATTTAATACCACTTAGTACATTTATAAGTTTTTTAGTTACTATTATTTCTTTCATTAATTTATTATATTTTATATATTAAGACAATCAAGTAATATAATACTAAAACCTAAATGGTTCTATATATAACATCATTTTTTTATTATTTATAAAATATTAAAAATTATGATATTTATTAAATTAAGAAGTCGAAGTTTAACCAAAAAAATTGTTACATATAAAATATTTTATTTTAATAAAATAAAAAGTTAAAAAACTCGTAATTTTCTAATTTTGTCAGAATATATTTATAAATTACTACGAAATTATTATCTGAAATATTGTTATTATTATTAAGTAGAAAAACCTGGTACCAACGATTTTTAGAAGATTTACCATTTTTATCGTACCCCTTTGCAAGGTTCGGAATTTGATATCTAGATTTAATTTCTTCTCTAACTAAATCGTAATTCTAAATGAAAAACTATTGATGTCGAATTATTTATATTTGATTGTCATTTTTTATTCCTTGGGTAGCTTTTACATCTATGAATTTCTACTTAAGTTTTTTGTTCAAAGTTACATAAATCAGTTCAATGTGTTACGGTTTGCTTTACATGGATGCTGAGGATCCCACAACAATGAAACGTTTAGGGAATGAACGACAAGCGGAAATAATAATTGTGTATAGCATAAAACAAATCAACTTATATACTAGGTTAGTATATATCCTAGTATATACCTTATATATCCTTATACATCCTTATATGTCACCTTTAGCCACTAGAATAAAACACCGCGTCACCCTAACATCAAAATAATAAACTACTTTAACTCTGTATTTTAGAATAATTTTTGAAATAACAAAAAAAAAAAAAAAAAAAAATACAGTACACAGAAAAATAATAAGTACACCTACAATTTATTTTAGTTATAGGGTTCAATAAATATAGATGGTTAAAAGTTTAAATTTGCAAATTAAAAGAAAAAAAAAATAATGATTTGTATGAAAACTGATAAGAAATTGGGCCCTGGTTGTTTTTAAAAAGTTGAGGAATTCGAGGGCTGATGGTGGAAAGACCGAGTCTCATATTGTCTTCTTGAATTGTAGAGCTATAAGACTACATATCTAGTGACTGCAAAATAACTGAATAACGGCCCTGGTTAAATCAATAAGATAATCATTCAGTGATTTCGTAAACCAAAATACTGCACGTATTTATCGGATCTAAATATTATAATGTTATAAACTTAAAGGTAAGATAAAATTTACATGGCAGTTTTGACAATATGATTTTATTAAAATTAATTTTTTTTTCCTTTTTCCTTGGAGATTTCGTGTCACTCCTACACTCAGTGCCGCAACTACAAAATAGGAGGCCCGTGCGCGGTAATTATTTTAGGTCCCTTCCTAGGATTTATTTTTGTTGTACGTCTTATTTATAAGTATCAATTTTTTTAGGTATATAAATTATAATATGCAATATATAATATATAAATTATATATTATATATATCAAATTAAATACCTACAACTGTTGTATATTATACATCACTACATATTAATGTAGTAAATTTAAGTAGTGTAGGTAGTTATGTTGTATACCTACCCAAATACTCAATGGACTCATTGTTAAATTATATTACTCTAAAATATTATGACATCCTCACCTAAATTTTAAAAAAAGTTTCTTTTTATTATAAAATATTAATATAATATTATTAAATAATTGTTTGTTTGTAAAGTGTAGTTTATTTTAGGCTGGGACTAGGGGGCCCTCAAATGTATGTAAGCCTTAGGACCCATGTGCACGACACACTCTGCACACTCGATTTTTGCGGCCCTGCCTATACTGCGTCCATATCTCACTTGGGTGACATTTCACCCCAGTTGAAAACCAGTGGCATACACCAAGGTTTATAGATAATTTTATTTATACGAGTATATTATAATCTATAAACATTGAGCATACGTAATCTTGTACCTATTTTTATTACTAGAGCTCGGAAAGTTTATGCATTTTGCATTTTTTTTCTTGGAACTTTTTAGACAATGCTCTTTTGGCTACAAACGTATTTCATTAACATGTGCATCCGAATAAGTAATTTTTATTTTGCATTTATTGCATTTTTTGGTGTTTATTACTTTTTAAGTAATTTTTTTGACATTTTTAGTCATTTTTACTGATTTCACACTAGTAATTCACTTCTTATCGTTTCTTGTCGACCATTATGTCAATCTCTTAAGACTTGTCCGATTTTATCTTGCCGATTACATTCGTGATTGTCGTATTGTAGTGAATATTATTAAAACAAAATTTTATTATTTTTTCCTAATATTCAATTAGTATCCGATTTTATCTCGTCGATTGCAGTCGTCGCGTCGTTTTCATGTTATAGTCAGGGGCGGACTGGGTAAATATTTTAGGCCAGTAATTTTTTTGTCTAGTCAAAAATGAACAGGGAACCAACGATTTGGTCATAAGTATGCAAAAAAAAAAAAAATAAATAAATAATAATGATAAAAAACCTTTATTATTTAAAAAATATTTTCAACATTTTATGTAGATATATAAAATTATACATAATATATAAAAAATTTTTTTTTTATAGATACAGTGTACACATTTTAATATAATACCTATATATTAAAATTAGCTCTTAAATTAATTCTTTTTTTACATAATTAAGTTTTTTTTCATAACTTCACTAGTTTCCCCAATTCTGTCGATTAAAATATCGTCATACTATATTTTTAATTTCTAAAATATTATCAGGCCATTTAATCTATAATTGTAACGGGCCAGTCCACCTCTGGTTATAGTAAATAATACCTAATATATAATTTTATTATTTTTTTCATAATATTTTCGAAATTACGAAAATTAAAACGTCGGTTAGTGCTTGCCGTGCCTCACAATCACTTCAGTGCAGTGCATTTTATAAGGAATTTTCACTGGGCGATAAAAAATGTTTTTTCTCAAAATAGTCAATGTATAATACCATAATACGATTATAGTAGGTATTACAAGTTTGTTTCACATTATTTCGCCCAATCTTTTAAAATACTGTCGACAGAATATAATCACTGGGGCGACATTTGTGTCGCCTAATTAACTAGTTAAAAAATGCACTGCTTCAGTGGACGTGGAAAGAAGTTTTTCTAAATATATTATTAGATAATCGTCGTTCATTTACTTTTGATAACATCAATCACGCTTTAATTGTATAATGCAATTATTTTGATTTTTGAGTAATTAATAAGCTTTGAGAAATTTATTAAACAAACATTTGTAATTTTTTTATTTCATATTTTAAGGATATATTTCTGTCACATTTTGAGTAATTTGTAAGTTTGATAAATTTTTATAGAATATTATGGTAAAATATTTAAAAAAAAATATTTTTATTCATTTAAAACAAATATTTGTAGTTTTTTAGGTAGGTCATTTTTTAAGGACATTTTTGTCATTTTTATCTTTTTTTATATAATTTTAATGTTTTTAAGGTCATCAACTTCTGAGCCCTAGTTATTACTATGGATTATAGAATATAATTGGCTTAATTTGCCTACTGTCAGTAGAGGGTGTCCATTGCGTTGCGCGCAGCGTTCTATGAATTGTTGGTTTTGTTTATATTTAAATTCGCTATTTTGTCGATCATATATAAAATTAAATTATAGCGTTAACATATTATTGTTAATACATTGTGTTTTTAAGTAATAATATGCAGTGGCGTATTTACAGGGGTAGGGAATCCAGGGGAACTGGACCCCCCCCCAAGAACCACTCCAAAAAATAAAAAATAAACTAAAATTCTTACATATTTGCAGAATTGGCTATGTTAAACATTTACAGGGAAGTTGAAATAACCGTTGATGAAATGATAGAGGAATTGGCCATAAAATCGAGACAACTGGAATTTTTTTTTATAACAATACTTTAAATTATATTATGCTAAATACAATATATAAGTATATATATAATATTAAATAAGACTATACGATTATTACATTATATATTTAGTTTAACTTCCTCCAAAAACTGTATATGGACGTAACTATTACAATGTAATATATAGTTTATATTAATTATGTATAAACTGCGGACCCCTCCAGAAAAAATTGAAAATACGCCACTGATAATATGCAAAAAAATAGTTCTGTTGGGCCGAATGTTCGTTTTTCGGACGACGACGACGACGAACGACTAATCGAATTATTCGTTAGCAAACATAAAATACCATATGATCTGAAAAATTACTAGTTTAGTAGGAAAACATTTCTATGCCGCGTAATACGTTTTGCAATAACGCCGACGTAATAGGTTTCTGCAGCGCAAAAAACAAACTTCTAGGAAAACGTAATACTGCGTTTAATATAACAATTAATTTGGATGGAAATCACTTAATTTAAATAAATAATTACATTTTACCGTTTAAGGATGTGTTGAAGTGGTCGAACATAAATGGTTATTTATTATGATGGTGATATTGAATATTTTCGTGGCTGAGGGAAAAGTTAATACGGAAGTCATAATAACGGAAATCATAATGCGTTTAGATGATGAAAAATATGGGAACTTATTATAATATTATTATTATAATAAAAAAAAGTTATTATTTAAAAGTTGTTCCCAATTTTCTAACAAGTTGCAATAACTGTCGAAAATATCGGTGTTTAAATGTATTTTATATCCATAGTACAATACCGCTATGTATTACAAAATTCTAATACATTTTGAATAAAAAGAGGGTTACGCCGTATACCCGTTTGTAGATTTTTGATTTTTGACTTATACCTAATGTAAAATATTATTTTACCGGTATACGCTCCTTAAATAACTCTTAAACAAAATAAAACTTATTTAATAGTATATTGGAAAAAAATTGTTATGAAGTTTGAATGAAATATTTATATTTTGAAGATGACAGTGTACAGTTTGTGATTCAACAGAATCATGCAGTAAGATTATTTCTAAGGAAAAAAGAGCTCTATGGCTCGACTTCCATAAACTATAAATAATTTAGAGTTCTTCCAGTCAGGTATTTATATAGGGAGTTCTCCATTTTATTTAAAGCAGGTAAAATTACTACCAAAAACGTCAATAAACGAGAACACAGGGCTTACGATTTTCAAGTTTATTACATAAAAAAAAATATAGGTTATAAGTTCGTAGATTATTTAGGTTCAATTAATTTTAATGCTATGCCACTTGAGCTGAAAAAAAAAATTGTAAATAATGTATATAAAAAAAATTATGAATTTAAAAAAAGAACTATTGTAAACTGGTTGTTGTTTAATCTTTAACTGTGTATGTTTGCTAATTAGGAAATAATTTATATAAATATTTTTATTTTTATATATTTTATAGATTTTATTGTTTACTAACAACTCATTTACCTCGCCACAAGCTCTACTTAAAGGGATAAATTAAATAACTAATATATTTATTGTAACTATATTATTTATTTAATAAAAAAAAAAAAGTTTACAGTTTAATTTAATTTTAAGTTCAATTTAGTGAATAATAGATTGAATAATAAATGTTATTAATTATAGGATGGACTTACAGTTCATGGTTCGTAAATCTGCACAAAGCATTTTATAACGCGTGACAAATGTATATCTTATGGTGTTTTATTTTATAGTTTATTAGAAGTTATAAACATGGAAGGGGTCAATTTAATTTATTCCAGTTTAGCAAGAAAAAAAAATTATAGAGCGAAGCGAGAACATTTACTTCAGATTAATATACATATTTTATTAGTGCATATTCCCATAAATATATTTACCAATACACCACTGTATAAATGTAATATAAATGCATCAAAAATTATGGTGGCTTTAAATTTTATAAAATATTATAATAAAATAAAATTTACTAAAGGATTTAATACAATAGTATATTACATGAAATTGAACTTTAATTTAAATATTTAAAAAAAATTGAAATTGATTATTTGTATAAAGTATAAAATTAAATAATATACTTTTAGTAATTAACTCTTCAATAATTGCTATTGTATACAATATACAACAATGACCAGTTAATTTTGGTATTAGGATTAACACCTATTGTAATAGAATAATCAATTTATTATAATATTTTGTAATTATCAAATTTTTTAATTACAGTCTCTTGCCCGCAATATTCCAGGAATTGCTATTCATATATCACTTACTCAATTAATTAATTCATATTTAACAAAAAATAGTGAGACTTCAATGGCCAAATCTGGACTAGCTGGATTTAGTGCGCGATGTATTACTGTGTCATTATTAATGCCTTTCACCGTTTTGAAATCTAGAACTGAAGTAAATAAGAAAGAATATATATACATATATTATATTTTCTCATACATAATTTTTATTGTCAGTGATTTTATTTTTTGTTTTTGATTATATTAAAAACTTTTAATTAATAATTTTCTTAGTGTGGTCAGTACCATTATGCTACTTTAACTAGTGGTTTATCTGGAATTCGTTCATCTGAAGGCTGGAAAGCTTTGTGTCGTGGATGGATACCGACCATTTTACGAGATGCTCCATTTTCTGCACTATATTTTATGTTTTTTATTAAATTTAAAAATATAGAATTGTTTGAAGGTAAGTAGAATGAAATTTAAAATTCACTTAATAGTTGTATTTAAAAAGATAATTTATCTTGTTTAGAGTTAATTTTTATGTATTATTATAGGTATTAATTATAAATAAAATTATACACGACTTACATGCTTTTTCATATGCTTTTAACATATATCATAATTACTAATCAAATATATTTTGATTTGTTTTATTGAAATTAGATAGAAAAAAACCGTACTATACTTTTGGGTGTGGTCTCTTAGCTGGAGGAATAGCATCTTGCATTACTCATCCATTTGATGTAATTAAAACTACTCAGCAAGTTTCAAAAGATAATATTCCACTACTTGATGCAATTGTTTTAATAAAACAAGTAAATTATGTAATTATGATTGTTTATATGAAATTTAAAAATAATTTGTATATTTATAGAAGTATGGATTAATGGGTTATATGAATGGACTTTCTCTTCGAATTCTAAGACGATCATTAATAGCTGCAATTACTTGGACTATATTTGATAAATTAACCTATACTTAATTTATTTTTATTTATTTATTTATTTTAAATTGAAAAAAAATCTTCCCTTCAATAACCTTAACTTAATTATATATTTGTTTATTTATAGAATGTGACTTACAATATTTTTTGATGAATTTAATTATTATAAAAAAGCATCTGAATAAAATCTATGACAACATTAAATTTTGAAAGTAATTTAATATTAATATTAAACTAATTTATTGAAATTTTAAATTAACTTTTTTTTTTTTAATTTTTAGATTATTTTTAAACTTTAATTAGACAATAGTTTGAGTTAATTAAACTATTGATCTCATAATATATTGTAAAATCAATGGTTAAAATATATATTCCCTATATAACCATAATGCAGGCAAACGTGTATAATTTTTTTTAAGATAATATTTTTATATTCTTCACTTTTCTGCAAAATTTTTTAGTTTATATACTTTTGTATACTATAGTTTATTTGTAAATAATTTATTTTAATGTTAAATGTTGTTTGTTTGTATGATTTATGTTAAAAAAATTACATTTTATTGTTTTTATTCCTACTAGTACCTACAATCAATAAACTGTCGTATCTTGTATTTCACTATTAAAATAGACAATTTTTCAACATAATATCGGAGCTTGAATTAGGGGGTGCACAGGTTAGATTAAAATGTGGATTACAATTTACATAAATTTTATAACAAATAATACGATTTATAATATCAAAACTATTTTTGATATTCATTTATTAACAAGTTGAGCTCCACTAGTATTATTACTTTTCAGTCCCCAGACTATGTTGGCCAAAATTACGTTCGATCGATTAGTGAGTACGCAGTACGGTAATAGATAGAACCGTGCTACGCAGACATACAGTACTCCCCGACCTTAGCAACATGAAAAATATATAATTGGTTCAGGGGCGTCATTTCAACTTCTGAAAGGATGGGACAACTGATTAAATTTGCCAACTTCATAATATTTAAAAATTTATGGTTACCTATATATTTAAATATTTAATATTTATAGACGATAGATCAGGGGCGTATTAAGACTTACTTCTAGAGGGGACGACTCAAATTTTTTCTTTAATTCAGGCTCAAAATTTAAAACATGTGAATCCTTAATATTTTTGGTTTTTTTTTTAATCTAATGCCGAATCAACTTTTGTGTAGTTATTTTTAACACCTATCTGTGTTTTGAAAGTTACGCTTGAATTTATTTGATTTTTCACTAAATATGGACCGACAAAAAAATCCAATTCAGTATTCACAGCCACGCGTAATTTGATTTCGTTATAAAATGACTGAAATTAAAAAAAAAATTGAACTGTAAATCCAACATTAAATCAATTCCTTAAATACGGAGCCAGTGGGGGATCGCCCCTTCGACCCTCCCCCCTAAAATATGGTCATGCGATATACTATCAACAAAATATTTTTTCGAAACTAAAAATATAAGGATTAGTAATGAATAATTATGTCATGATGATAAACAAAGAACATGAAAGTTTCAATTTACCCAATTAAATAATAACATTAAAGATGGTAAAACATTAATTTATTTACTCATCCTATAGGCTATAAGTTAACTATCAATAGGTTTACTGGAATAATAATATAAATCTAATTAAATAAATACTTATAATTTAATATTTAATATTTGTGTATTTTATACTTTACAGAACTTATTTATAAAAACATAAAATTGTGTCTCAAATATAATGTACCGTAGTTTGGGGTAAATAGGAACGATTTTAACGGGTTTTTGTAGATTATGAGCTCAATTTTTATGGTATCGATATCACGAAAACTGTTTTATAAAGATCACATGTATAGAAATCATAGGCGGACCCAAAGTTTTACATTTGGGTGTGCCCTGTTATTTTTTCAAAATATAAAGGGGAGACTATAAACACTTATGTGTAGACCGTATTATGTTTTAAATTCTAAAACTAAAGGCTTCGTTAATGATGTAAAATAACGATTGGTAAAAAATTCACGTAATTATTATTTCAGACTTATTCTGGACACTTGCAGTATCAAGGGCGTATTTGAGTTGTGGCCGGGTGTCGGGGGACTAATTTTTTTTCAGTACAAACTTAAAAATAATTTACAGTTCATTACAGGGGCGTACCCAAGGGGAGGAGTTCAGGTCCGGACCCCATTAAGATTTCTATATATACAATAGTTTAATAGTAAATAGTATGTACTATATAGTGTATTTTAATTTCTCATTATCTTCAAAGTTTATAGATTATATAATGTGTATAAAATTTTGGACCCCCCCCTAAAAAATTCCTGGGTACGCCTCTGGTACATTACCTATAGCTTCATTCGAGTGAATAAAAAAAAATACAAGTATATATTATATTTAATATATAATAAGTATATATATACAATAAATATATTTAAAACCTACTGCATATAAAATAAGTATTAATAATAAAAACACAAATTGTTCTTATATTAAAATTGTACCTTCAATCTGAATTCTGTATAAAAAAAAACAACAATTAATCATAGTATAAACAGTACCTGTTATTTATATTTTAAAAACTTTAAAAAACAATTAAGATAGGTAACTTAATTTAACAAATATCTAAGTAGAAATCATAAGGTTGGTAAGTAGTTAAATAACAAATTCCAAATTTCTTTTTTTCATTTTGGCAAATTTGTTAATTATTTCATCAATGGTTACAATAATATTTTTAAGCACATGCAACAAAACCAAACCTGTTAATCTATGCTAGCTTATTCTTGATCTTAACCATATTTTCAATTTACAAAAATATATTTTTGGCCAATATTTACAAAATAAAGAAACAAATATTATGTTATTATGTTAATATTAATCAATTATTATGATTATTATTTGGGTTAGGGGCTTCTAGCTCTATAAAATATACAAATATGCATGTATTTGTGCAAAAAAAATGACTAAATATCTATGCACAACAAAAAGTACCAGTTATTATGTTGTAAAAAAAAATTAGACAAGTAAAATTATTAAGGTCTTATACAGCTCTAATAAATACAAAACAGGCCCTATTTTTATGTGCATCCCGACAATGTGCACCACGAATGTACAAGTGTGCACTACGGTCTACAAAACAAAAATTAAATAATAAGCCAACTTCTAGGAAATATGAGTATTATTGAATTTTTTAAAATTTAATGCATATATATATACATATTATGTATGTAATATATTCCTTTTTCTAAGACAGTAGCGAGACTAAATTTTCATTTAAAGCAGTAAAATCAAGTGTACAATCCAAAATTATACAAATAATAAGGCCTGATACAAAAATATACAATATGCATAAATGCACCAAAAAATGACTATCTAGTAAATATGTGGTAAACAAAGTGTTACTTTAAATTACTTTACATTATCTGATAAATGCCTTGGTTATAGTTGTAAATGTCTATAACCGTAGCAATATCCGTAGAAGATAATACCACTATTCGTTCCACAATCAAAAATGTTATGATATAAGAAGATAAACAAAAATTGATACCCGTGACCTAATTGACATTTTATATTATTGAATGTATTATCATATCATAATGATAGACACATTACATTTTTTAAATAAATCAATGTATTATATTCAAAAAAAAATACGAGACATTGGGGGTTCCCTTCCCCCCCATCAAATCATAGGCGTGTATCCGGGGGAGGCAAGAAGGGCACCAGCCTCCCCAGCGACGTTCTTGGCCTCTTGGCTTATAAGGGTGAAACCACGGATATATAGTATCTATATCCGTAGCTGAAACATTAACATTAGGTAATTTTAAGTAGAAGGTAAATTTTAAATTTATTGAATTTTATTATTTGGAATATTTTAATGAATAACTGTTGTGTAATAACTGTAGGTAATAAGATGTGTAGAGAAGGTTGATTTATACTTGATAAAATATTTATAAAAAATAACTGAGTAGTACAATAGTTAATAGGCCTTATTTATAAGTTCATAGTTGTAATAGCATAGGAAACCAATTTTAAGATCAGAAAAATCTTTGATTTGGCGGGGCGAAAAAATTCTGGCTGCTATATACTTTCCATACAACAAAAATAAGTCACAAATATAGATATAGATTATAGGTCGCTGTAGTAAGTAAAAAATTTAAATTTTATAACTGGCCTCCCCAGCCATGGAGGTCTGGACACGTCTATGCATCAAATACGCCCTTGTGCAGTATTACTTACAAAAAACTAAAATTTAATTAATGAGTATGCATATATATTCTTAGCTGTAGTTATTCAATTTTCTTATACACATTATTCACATTAGGGTGTGCTAAAGTACATTCCGTAGAGTGGCCTATGATAGAAATATATGTATAATAATCCAAAATAAAGTTTATAAGGTTCGTGTAATAACGATTGTCATAAACCGGGGAGGAGCCAGTGTTTCCCAACTTTTAATAAGCCGTGAACATATATTTAAAAGAGGTTAAATTATTATCTGATTTCTGAGTACAAAATAGTAGATAAAAATTTATTACTTGGAATATACCTACTAAAATAGTATATTTTAAAATTAATGATAATAAATGAGTACTACAAAAATTACGTCATTTACACAATTTTACGCCCAAAGGATGAATTGTCATCTTCCTCCTCTAGATCCGCCCCTGCTTGTTAGTACTTGTTAGTTGTCCTCAAGTAGGGAAATAATAATCAGATAATTTCTAGGAATAGAGGATAAAACTGTATGAATGTTTTGGTTAATTTATTATCAAGTATACTATAATTCCTGTAGCATGAAACAATTCAAATAATCTAAGAATATTTTCACAAAATAATTTAATACATAATACAAGATATACTTATATATTGATAAATTAAAATTTAATTATATAATGGTTTAACAATTCAGAACAGTAAACGATTTCCACAAAGTTCAACGTTTTCATCTTCGCCGTAAGGACAGTTTTTAGTGTTATCGCATAACCAATAGTCTGGAATGCATCTACCAGTGATACATCTGAATTCTTTAATAGAACATAATCGGCTCTAAAATTAATAAATATATTTAGGTATAGAATAAATATTAGAAATATTTAAAACATTGCAATTTTTAGCATATTTGTCAAACAATAATAATCTATCAGTGTTTAAAAATACAATGAAATAAAATAAAAAAAAAGGTAACAAAACTAATTTAAGAGTGCTAAAAAAATATAGTTAGAATTTTAAATTCTTATATAAATCAAGAAACATATTTATTTATAATAATCACTTCTTGTGGTCATTAATCTATAATACTATATTTATCTAAAGCATTAAATATTTATCTGATTATATTATAAATAAAAATGTATTATTATTTAAATAGAAAATGATCATACTTGACACATGTTTATACTTTCATCTTCTCCATTTGGACAATGTCTCGTTTCATCACATAACCAAATATTCGGAATGCATCTACCAGTGTTGCATCGGAATTCTTTGTGAAAACAAGTATGGCTCTATAATAAAATAATTTTCTGCATGATACTCATAAAAAAAAACTTTGAATTTTAGAATTTTTATTCTTAGATTTACGCCTAAAATAAATTAGGAGGATTCTTATTATTATTTAGTACCGAAGCATTCATAGACGGTACTACGGGAGGGGCAAGGTAGGCGGCTGCCTCCCCTGCAAGTAAGAACTCTCTTTATACATTTCGAATATTGATTGGTAACCCCTCATATTACATACTTATTTAGAGTCTGCATGGTTGTAAGTAATAATATTATTATCTACAACCATGGGAACCATTCATGTAAATATGCTGATAAGATTTTTTGCGTCAACATTTTCAATATTATTATAATTTATTTTTATCATTGAGAAATCATGAACCAATATTATTACTTTATTATTATCTGTATCACAAACGTTTTGTATGATTTTATACTTTGATTTGACTTGATTTTTTTGGATAATATTATTTATAACAAAAATTATGAACACAAACCAAAGTAAAAAAATAAAAACTTTATACGACTTTTTCATATAAGAACCATCATAAGCGCCTCTATGAGGTGTGCCGGATATTCCTTGGCACACCCTAATGTGAATAATGCGAATAAAAAAATTGAATAATTACAATTGAGAATATATGTGCATACATATTAATTAAATTTTAATTTTTTGTAAGTAATATTGCAAGTGTTCAGAATAAGTCTGAAATAATAATTACGTGTATATTTTACCAATCGTTATTATACATCATTAACGAAGCCTTTATTTTTAGAATTTAAATCATAATACGGTCTACATGTAAGTGTTTATAGCCTCCCCTTTATATTTTGAAAAAAATAACCAATAAAATGACAGGGCACACTCAAATGTATCACTCTGAGTCCGCCAATGACAACCATCACAGGTAAATTGTGGTAAGTTATTATTTTAAAATTTTAAAAGATATAATATTATAAATGTAGGTATTTTTAAGTGTATTATTCATTTTACAAAATAATCTTATTTGAAATAAGTTAAAATAGTTATCAATTAAATACTTTTTTTTATAGTATTTCTAGTCCAAAGATTTAGACAAAATAGTGTTTATATTTTACTTCAAGTATTTCCTGCTCCCCTCCCTGCCAAGAGGGTCTAGTACCGCCTATGGATGCATTATAAATGAACATTGTTAAATATATATTAATAGTATTTACTGTAAAGCAATTCACAAAGAAATGTATTGTATATTAAATATTTTACAGCATAGCAAATTTACGTTCAGTGATTTAAATGTAGTGAATTTAACTTTAATATTAGAGTAAACTGATCTATAATCAAATTTGAAGGTAAGAACTTTATCTGTGTTTTGTTGGTCAGTTTTTTTCCGACATTGTAATTTTTTAGCAAGTTATGATGTCTTAACACGTTTAAAAATTAAAATATTGAAAAAAAATCGATCAACAAAACACAGATAATGTTCTTCCCTTAAATTTGATTATTGATCAGTTTACTCTAACATTAAAGCTAACTTCACTACATTTGAATCACTGAATCCAAATTTGCTATGTTGTACGTATGTCAGACGAAAACAACATACGCGGGTGTGACGTCCTCTTAAAACACAAAACTTCGAAAGTACGAAAGTATTTTAATATATTACAAATTATCATTAATTATCATAAATTACAAATTTTTTAAAAATTATATTTCATAAATTCTTTAATGTAGTTCTTTTAAAAATAATGTTTTATGACTTTTTTATATCATACATATTTTTCAGTGGGAGGTAACATTTTTCTGGATGAGCTAGAACTCCCCTTGTCCCTTGGCGTTAAATAAAAAATCAAATACAAAAAAATAGTTTAAAAAAATAAAATATTCATACTTCACACATTTTTAAGTTTTCGTCTTCACTGTTGGGACAATCATTTATTCCATTACACACATAATTGTGCGGAATACAGCCACCAGTTTGACACATGAATTCTTCATCGTCACATGCTAGACTCTATAATAAAAGTTTTTGTTTGTATATGATTAAAATATATAAATCGTAAGGTTTTCAAAATATAAGCAGATAATTAATCTACCTATGTTGTATTGAAATTACAACAAATTTTAATTACAATTATCTATAAATAATAATGAAATCGGTTTTTAAAAAAAGTTTTAGTACAAATTTTAAAGATAAAATACGAGTATGATATGATAACACATAGGTATATATATATATACCTATTTATACATCATATAGACATACATCGATAAATAGAAACTAAATAATTCTATCATAAATAAGGTAATGAGACTACCTATAGAACCTATTCGTTATGGCTCAAGTACTTGCTTAAGTATTTTAACATTTAGATGCAAGTGCGTATTTAAAGATTATTTATGGAGGACCTTCATATATTTTGATAATAATTATTTTTATTATTATTTATTTACTAGCTGGGATTTTGACAATAGGGAGTTGGACCCTCAAATCCCCCCTTATTTACACCACTGCCTAGATAACTTGATATATCAATCATTAAAATGTATAAGATTGTTACAATATTATTATTTAATTTACAAATTTTACAAATTCAGATGACAATATACACACAACAAGATACATGTAAAATATTACATACGCAGGGCCTGATTGAGTTGACGATCTACCAAGAAAATCTCGGCCGTTCAAATTATGGACCATTTTTTTTGAATTTTTGAGAATGCTTATATATATAATCGTATCATGTTTAGAATATAATAGATAAAACATCGAACAATTAATTTGATAAATCTATTGAATAAATTGTTTTCTGTATTATATATTACTAATACTACTATTACTGCTACTGTTATTATTATTATTATAATTAGTTTGTTACTATTTTAAATACAAAAAATATCACAGAAGTGCTAAAAATAAAGTTAAATTATTTGACATTATTTTTAATAATTTAGTGCATTAGTTAAAATTTTTATAAAAATCAATTTTATATCATTTCAAATGTTGACTTATTTCTACTTGGTCAATTTTTAAAATAGAAAAAAGAAAAAAATATTGTTTTCACACACGGCCACGGTGGCCGTGTGTAACTGACGTATTAGTTACTAATTTAATAATTATAAAGTAGGTATATTAATAATAATTATTATAAAATTACTTAATTGCCATAATATATTTTAACTATTTATCTATATACTATTATTTATTATTATACTTATTCTCTTTCTTTCTATTTGTTGTCATCCAAAACTATTATTATTTAGCTATGTGTAAGCATGTGCTGAATCAATCTAACATAATATAATAATTTACCCATAGCCCATAGATCGTATTTATATAATTATATTGATTAGTTATATATTAGAATAGAAGTAATAGTTATACAAATTATAAAGGTTATATTTTTGGTTCCGATTATGGAAAAAAATTTAAAAAGTGTCAAAATATAGGTTTCGGTTTTTTGGAAAAATAAAAACTAACGCCATTTCCACCGTGGCAGTGTTCACTTTATACAAAAATTGTTTGCAAAAAAAAATGTATCCGAGTATGTAGAAAAAAGTTAAGGTTGTCTTTAAAAAAAAGTTGTATTGCGCATGCGTGAACCGTAAGAGTAAAAAATTTAAAAAAATGTGCATTACAGTGCCTCCTAAGCCCTCCTAAATATTCATTATATACAAGGTAACCCAGCTAAGTTATTTAGAAATCATGATCACACAGTATATTTCAATATATTTGTGTCTATAACTAGCTTCTTTGAACTTTCAAACCAAAAATATGCATTTTACACAAGCATTTAATATGATTGAAAAAATTGTACTACTAGTGAAAACTAGATAAGTCGAACTTCGATAAGTCAAAATAAATGCCATTCCCTTGTAAAGCCGCATAATTCTCTAATAATCATAAATATTTAGAGGTATATTTAAATATGTTCAATAAACATGACCAGAATTATAATATCTAAAACTGCATGCATTTCCTTTTAGAAAAAATTTATATTTTTCAGTGTAATCATAGTATAATTTTTTTATCTATTTTTGATTATTTATTGTTTAAAATAAATTAAAAATATTTTTATTTTTTATAGGGTGGTAGAAAGGTAAGTGAATAAATAAAAAGTAATTGTCATAAATGTTTGATAATAATAGACCAGTGGTTTAAATATTGTATACCGAGATGGGCTAATCTACCTCAATTCGACCTGTATATATGTATTATTTATTAATTATATTTAAATTGAATACATTGTTATTTTTTTTTTCTAGGCCCTCAATTTATTGTTTAAATCAAAATTCGATATAATAGGTAATATTATAATCATATTTAAAACTATTCAATATAAAAAAAATAAAATGAAAAAATGAATATCATAACTATAATCCTGCAAATATTTTGATACTTGTGGAAATAACAAATTTTTTTTTTTTTCTTATAATAACTTGTTAGTTGTACGCAAGGCTAACTTTAAGTCATTTAACCCAGATGTTATAAAATAAAATTAATTTTAAATCTCTAATTGTTAAATATTTAAATATTTGATTTATTTATTTTCCAATAATTTCTCAAATCACAAATACTACACTTATTATTTTTAATAATATAGATTGCAAACAATTCTTATGAAGTAAAACACGATCAACTTTTCAATTTTTATTTTATAAAATAAATCTATAATATTGTGTTTTCAGAATTTAGTTCTTAATTTATTATAATTATTATTATTTTTAATTATCAAAATTATTGTGTTTCATGATCTTTATTTGTTTAAGTAAAAATTATTTTTCATAAGATATTTTTTTTAACTAAAATTATAAATTACTTGCATCCCAAGTTAGTAAGTTATATTACATTTTATTGAGAAGTGTGAAAAATTTTTTGATTTTACTTAATAAAAATATAATTTATTGATATAATTATTAATTTATTTGTCCACCGGAAGTTTGTAGTCAATTCAATATTTTTGAAATTATTGTCATCATTTTCATAAGCAAACGCTAATTATTTAAACAATGTTCTGACTGTATTTAATTTGATTTTATACTCTATCACTAGATAGACTAATAAAATTTATTTTAAATTCATAATACAACTTACTGGATCAAATGGAATGAACGCTGTAATAAAAGGTACTGTTAATAATATACATAAAAAGTATAATACTTGCATTTTTATCTAAATACGTATTAAGTAAATTCATGAACTGTTAAGACAAAAATATAACTATGGTAGTATAAGTAACTTAGCAAGTGCCATATACTTGTTTGTACAACACTAAAGGTTATCGAGGTTATAGAATGCGATTACCTACCTACATATGCAAATTGTTATCATTTATTATTTAGTATTAACGTATATAAAACGCTATATAAACAATAAATAAATTTCAATGGAACACAATTAAAAATTTCATAGTTATCGTATAGGTAAACATATATACATAGAGTTCAAATGTTTTTCTTTTGTAGCCAGTCTTGAAAAGTATTTGAGTAAAAATATTTGAATAAAAGTATTCAAATACTTTGCTTGTACTCAAATACGAAAAATACTTTTTTTACAAATTTAATTTTAATTTTATCACATTAAAATAATAAATTAATTTACCAATTATTTATTAATATTATATTAATAAGATTTGACAACCATTTATCCGGCTTGTTTAAATATAATCAATATTCATATATGGCATATTTTAAAAATTTATCTTACAGAACTCTTCCAGCTATAATAATAATTAATAATTACATTATAAATACCAAAACCTGAGAACCCTATTAATAGTCTGCAACATTATACACAGGGTCGGTCTGACTCATGTTGGGCCTCCGGTAAGAATTGTACGATGGGCTTCTAAATAACAAAATATTGGAGTGAGATTTAATAAAGACGCTGTGTTAAAAGCCTGTAAACCTGCATCATACTTGGCGATTACGACACCGACCAAAATAAAATATTAATTTATAAATGTTGTTGATTCTTATCGCCATCTCTGAGAGTTTTATTGTAGACTACCGAAAAAACCGCCCAATGAGCAATCTATAATATTTATAATCAATGATTATATGTTACTATTACCAGTTGCTAAATATATGCAACAAATATTTATAAACAATATTAATTATTAAAGAGTAATATTAATTTTTTTAAGATGAACTAATTATTAAAAAATGGGGAAATATAAGAGATGCATTCAGGTCAGAATTTAACGAAATGTATATATATATATATATATATATATATATATTGACTAATTTCAATTTTTATTAAAAATTATTGACAGCTTCAAGTTTAGATGAAACTATCCCCGATTATATTGAAGATAACCTCGAGTCTCTAAAAGTAATAGAAAATTCTATTGACTCTAATGTCTTCTAATGATTTCTATTGTCTCCAATAAAAAATCTTGAGGATATAAACAAAAGTTAAATGAAGAACTTGATAGGGAAATTTTAAAAGAACTGTAATATGATAAACACCCTCTTAGTTAAAACGAAAACTAATCATTTTTTGCTTGAGTAATATCACCGATAAATACATTTTTTGTAGATGAAAAACTTGAATTTCGTATAGGCGTGATTGGATAATGGTAAACTGTAGCAAAAAAAAAATTAAGATCTTAAAATCTGCGACAAAACCGATAAGATACATTATACAAACTGCGGCAATTTATTATATATACATATCGTTACAATAACCTATATATACACACGTTTATTGTTTAATTAGGAATAATATGTTATGACAGCTATTAGTCTAGAGCAGGAGTCGCCAACCAGTCGATCTTTTTAAGAATACAGGTCAATCGTTGTAAAATAATCGGATTAATCAGATAATGGAGATATTAGATTATTATTATTATTATGAAAAAACAATAAATAATTATTCTTTGGAGCTTAGACCTTTATTATTTTTGTTCATCAAACAAATCTCTTTCTAAAGACCTAAATTCTCCTGGATGTCGATAACCAAGGACTTAAATGTCAAATATAGTTCACTTGTTTGAAAAGGTTGGTGACCCCTGGTCTAGAGACTCTTAGAGAATTAGACATAAAAATAAATAAAAACCAATTTTTAAAATTGAAAAATATTATTATTATTAAAAATTATTTTAAGATACCATAATAATCGCTTGTAACTAAGGGTTAACATTTTGTTGTTTATTTTTAAAACAAACTTCTTTCAAAAATTCAAATCTTGAAATTCGTTCATCTTCTTTCATTTATCGCTCTTTGAATTTGTATTTTTGTCATGTCGCTTTATTTCTTTTTTTGTATTATCCCTTCTTCTGCTATTTTAATTTTTATATCTATGTATTACCAATATATATGATATTACCGATCATGGGTGTAAGTAGGAAATATTTTCGGAGTAGGTTTTGGTCTAGATTTATATTAGTACTATTAAACATTAAAATTAAATATGAATTATTTATTTAATACAATTGAATACCAATACAATATTTTGTATTGGTGCATTGTATTGGTTCATTGTATTTTATGCAACTACAGTTGCAGGTTATCTTCACACACAGCATACTAAATTTTTGAATCTAGTTTCTTAAATTATCCAGTGTGCAAATGCGTGACACTAACTTCGCTGTCACGTAGATTTTGAGTTCAAAATTTAACTTCTCATTGTAACGGATAGGTATGTTACGTATTGGTGAAGTTATAGCAAAACAATCTAAAAGTTAATTCTGTGGATACCTTACTAAGTTGATTTGCATGCAATGCTTAATGTTGACATGACATGAAACTTCATTTACATTTTAATGTTACTTGTGAGTTTAATGATTTGTATTTAACATTACAATTGAGATGTTAATGGTATATAAATAATTTACTTTCATGTAAAGTTATAGGTAGATATCAAATGTGACATTTTTGAAAACGTCAGTAACCACCTAAAAAACGCGCCACTGGCAGTTGATCGAATTAATAGAATACGCGTTTTTAAATTAAAAACCATATAATATGAATGATGTCGCGACTATTTTGGTCGCGCGTTCAACATGTCTGGTTGCTCGAAAAGATTAGAACGGTGCGGCCAACTTTGTGGCGCCACTAAATGTGAAACCTTCAATTTAATTATTAATATCTTTTGGTGGCGCTGCTATGGTGGCTTCGTGTAAAAAAATTATAGATTTATCTTATCTAGAACGTACAACACTATAAAAACTTTCATAGACGTCGCATTTAAGTCACAGGCGAGTTGGTATGGGTATGATTTATTTTCATACCGTGTTAATCAGTGGCGCACACTCAAAAATGAATAGAAGTAGCATATTGAATGGAAAAAATAACACCCACCCACTAAATCACTTTCAAAAACAGACCCGTGGGGGCTTCGCCCCAACACCCCCTAACTAGAATTCTCTAAACTTGTTCAACTTGCCTATTTTAATGTCTCTGAATAATTATTATTATAGTTTATGTAGATATAGGTACAATTGAATTGATATCCTCATATAAGTCATGAGACTTCGGATACCCAAACCACCCACCTCTAAAAATGCAGAGGCCTCTCAAAAACCTCTTCAACACGCCACTGTACATAGTAGATTTATTATGATGTAGTCATGTAGATGTAGATATTTTGGGGCCAGGAGGACTACCCACCCACCCAATTTTTCAGGGGTAGCAGCTGCTACCCTTGAACCCTCCAGTGTGCGCCAATGGTGTTAATAATGTTTATTCGTTTTGACAATATGTTTAGTCAGACGCCCAAGTAGCAAGGACTCAGCATACTTTTAAAATTACTTTTTAGTACATACTTTTACAATTTACAATTGTTTAATAGGTTAAAAAAATTATTAAATGCAATGTTTGATTCCCCTATAAAGTCAACTGAGGTAGGATGTTTTTATGTAAATATTTCAAAAGTATCATCTTATTATTTAATACCTTTAGATGAAATTAGTTTGAAATGTTTTTTTGTTTCTATATCCAACAATAAAGCTATAATGTTTACTTTATTGCATTCATTGTAACACTACATGAATAAAATTATATTTGATTTTTAATTATTTTAAATAAAATTTTATTACATTTAAAGTGTTTATTGGTTTATATCTCGCACATTAGTAAATTTAGTTATTGTGTAAGAAATAATCACTTTATTTTATATAAAAATAAACTATTATTTATTTAGCTTATAAAAAATCATAAATATTTTTGTCTATATGTAAATATATAATTTATTTCAAAATTTAAGTTTGTTTCAAATGTAATATTTAAATATTATGATACATAATTATACGTTTTAAATCATAATAATGTGTATAAAAAGTAATAAATAAATAATAAAATGAAAAAAAAAACAATATATAGGTACATCTTATTATGAATTATGCCTAAATAATAATTATTTATCATGAATTTTGTTATTAGAAATTGTTATGTATTTATAAATACAATAATTTATAATTATGTAAATTGTAATTATATTTATATTTGTATTGTGTATATGCTCTAGATAAATAAACTTTCGTAGACAGCATAATCTGAATGAATGTGTTTATTTTTTCTTACATAATATTTTAACCTTTTGTATCTATTTATAATTTCAACTCTTAACTATTTACCTAAGCGTTATTAACAATACAACCAAATTCCAAAGTTTAGACTCAGAAATTCCCAAGAAGCTTATAGTTAAATAACTATAACTTTGAATAGTATTGGTAAGCAAAACATAATTTGGAAAGTTAAATGGAAGTAAATTTTTAACATTAAATATGGAAGTCAATTTTGTGATGTATAATAATAGTTACAAAATACTACTATATTAACTTCGCATGGTAAACTAAACATAGATCGCATTTGTTAATATCAAGGGAAAGTCACTTGTACGTTACTAGGCTTTAAATATTAACCTCGCATCATACAATAAAACATTCATGTGACGTCTCATGCACTGCATTTTGCACACTTAGTAGTGTCACCCTACGATTTCGACAGTACAGTTCAGTTTTTCGTCTTATTTGTGTGCAGTTTTTTGTATTTTTGTTGCCTGTCCAGTTAATCGTTCATTTATTGTCGAATTTCTCAAATATGATTTAATACGTCGTAATGTTGAAAAAGTTATTTCTGTAGTAGTTGTTGATACGGGAAGTGTAGAAATAATAGTTAAAAATTGTTTTATATTTGAAAAAAATTCAGAATCACATTTTAAAAAATGCTGATGATGCTGAGGATGGTCACCCCTCGAAATAGTTCGAGTTGTCATTGATTCTTTCAATTTTCTTAGCCAAAATGCTGAGATGGAATTTAATCTAATATTTATTACGGCTTCAAAAACTTTAACTGATGCTGGTGGCACAATGAGTGTACCAAGATTAAAAAAAAAAAAAAAACAAATTAATCGAGACAATTATTAAGATTCTATGCCGGAAGAATATTATAGAAAAGCACTTTTTATACCATTTCATGATCATCAGTGATGTTTTCTGGGGGGGTAGAGGGGGCGATCAGTTGTTGATCATGTATTTCTTATCAGTCAGCTGTATCATTTTTTCAAAATTTTTTATATTTAATTTGTTAATTAATTTTAGTTAATAGTTAACCACAGGTTAAATGTTCAATTACCCTGAGTATTAAACAATATTTACTAAATATATTAATTAATTTAATCAACATTTTATTTAAATAATGACTATTAAGTGTGTTACCTCTGTTGTTGTTGGAGTTTCTAGTTTTTTTCTAGGTATATGGATAGATAGAAAATATAGGGAACATAATATTTCCCATAGAATACCAGGATTTAAAATATTTGATGCTGTGTATGCCGAAAGCAATGTTGTTAATAATCAGCAATTAGTTATTAACAATGAACAGCGAGTATCTCAAGTAAGAATTATACTAATATTATTCTCTTGATTAACTTATCATATACTGCTCATGTAGATATTTTTCAAATCAAATTATATCTTTTGTAGATAATGAAATATGGATTTCCAAGTTTGGATAATGTACGATCATATAATAATTTTGTTCTTTCTTATGACCAAAGGAACCGTATACCCCATTGGGTTTTAGAACATTTGACACCAGAAAGTGTACAATATAATCCCAAAGTAGATAGAGCATTATGTGACTTTTTTGAAGATACCTCAATTCATGAATTTTTTCGGTAATTTTTAAATAAATATTATTTCAATATATTAATAATTCAAATTATTTTATAGAGCTACAAACAAAGATTATAAGCATAGTGGATTTGACCGTGGACATCTAGCAGCAGCTGGTAATCATAAAGCAAGTCAAGAATTAGTAAATCAAACATTTGTCTTATCAAACATTGCTCCACAAGTTGGAAAAGGATTCAATCGAGATGCTTGGAATGACTTAGAAAAATATGTAAGAAAAAAAGCAAAAAATAATAAAAATGTTTATATTTGTTCAGGTCCACTATTTTTACCAAAGTAAGAGAAAATTAAATTTTCATTACTTAGTTTTAAATACAGTATTATTTATGTTATTAAAATGGAAATATTTTTAGAAAAGGAGATGATGGAAAATTATGGATTAAATATCAAGTTATTGGAGATAACCACGTTGCGGTTCCTACACATTTTTATAAAATTATTGTTACTGAAAGTAATAAGTCCCAATTTTATTTAGAGTGTTATGTGATGCCAAATCAAGTTATTCCAAACAATATACCATTAAAAGACTTTCAAGTATTTAATGCACTAAATATTTAATTATTATTTATTATTAATAAAAAGAAAAGAAATTTATAAATTATGTGTCAAGTAGTAATCAACTAGAAATTAGAAGTTATAGTATTCTATTAACCTTGGTGTAATCTATTAACTTAATTATATTAAACATTTAGTCCTTCTTCTGATACTATCAGTCTGTTTGAGCCTATATTTTCTTGTGTATGTTATCATTGGTAATTATTATTTCAAGAGAGCATTCAAGTATCAAGTTAGCAGACCAGGGTAGAAGAGTTAGAGAAATCTGACAATACCTTACATGGGATTTTCCCCCTAATTATCAAATCTGATGTTAGTCAAAATTAAAATTAACCCATGAAAAAGCAAAGTGTAAATTACTAACCAACATCAAAGACGTTCCATCTACTGGTTGATATAATATCTATAGTATAAAATTCCCCCTATGAGTGGTAGGTAGAATACACCCACGGTAGTTCATGTCTGTTGTAAGAGGCGACTAAAATGGACATAGTAATGGGAAACAGCGCTGTTAAAATCAAGTTTGAATCCACTTATACTTGAACATCATCCATTAAAAACAATGGAGGATACTACGATATGGAAGGGACCATAATAATATCCCAAGTAACAGCAATAAACATGATAGCTTCTCAAGTAAAATATTCCGGAGGTAAAATAGTCCCAAATTCGGATCTTAAGAGGGGAAAGAAATCTTAAAGAACATAAAGAATATAATAAATTATAATAAATAATAAATAAAAAATAATAATAAATTCATAGCAACTTGGAATGTAAGAACTTTATTACAATGTGGAAACTTGGAAAACCTGAAAATGGAAATGAATAAGATGAAAATTGATATCCTTGGAATATCAGAAATAAGATAGCCGAATTCAGGAGATTTCTGGAGTGGAGACTACAGAATAATACATATGGGAGCATCAGAGAAGAAACCAGGTACAGGAGGAGTCGGGATTGTAACAAATAAAACCCTAGGTGAAAAAGTTAAATGCTACATACAATACAATGATAGAATTATCCTAGTCAAATTTAAGACGAAGCCAAAGGACACAACAGTAGTTGAGGTATATATGCCAACAACAAATAGTAGCGAGGAAGAGCTAGAAAAAATATATGAAAATTTAAATAGACTAATAGAAAATGTTAAAGGGAAGGAAAATCTGATAGTAATGGGTGACTGGAATACCATTGAAGGGGAAGAAAAAGTGAAAAATTTAACAGGTGACTATGGTCTGGGAAACCGAAACGATAGAGGAGATGGTCTATTTTGTGCAAAATATAAATTAATAGTCACAAACACTTATTTTAATCATCATGAGAGAAGAATATACGCTTGGAAAATGCCTCGAGATATAAATAGGTATCAAATAGACTACATCATGGTAAAAAACAGATTTAAGAAACAAGTAAAAGAAAGTAGAAGTTACCCAGGTGAGGATATAAACAGCGATCACAACCTTGTTATAATGAAGTGTAATCTTAAATTTAAAAGAATAAAGTGTAAGAAAAAAATAGTACAATGACAAGTCAAAAACCTAAGAAATGAAAAGTCAAGGAAACAATACAGTGAATGCACAAATGATGCGAGTATTGAAGAATCCCTAGGCCCCCAAAACATTGAAGAAAGATGGCAGAGCTTGAAACAGACAATCACAAAAACAGCAGCAGAAACTCCAGGACAGAAAAACAATACAGCAAGAAAATATTGGATTACAACCGAAATTGTGAACTTTATAGAGGAAAGAAGAAAATATAAATGTTTGAACTATACCGAAGGACAGAAAAGATATAGAGCATTGAGGAATCTAGTCATTAGAAAATTAAGAGAAGCAAAAGAAAAGTACCGGGAAGAAAATTGTAGTAATATAGAAACCCTTATGAAAACAGGAAGAAGAAAAGAAGCATATAAAATGGTGAAAAAGTTCTTCGGCTAGTATAAGCCCAGAGGTGTATGAGTAGAAGATAATAATGGGAAAATGTTGTGTGAGCAAAAAGATATTGTCAAAAGATGGAAAGAATATTTAGACATACTATATGAGAGAGAAACACTTAATGAAATCGAATCAAACGAAGGAGAAACTGATGTAGAAAAATATGAAAAGGACCCAGTTATGAGGGAGGAGTTTGATAAAGCTTTGAAGAATCTGAAGAACAAAAAAGCAGCACGAATTGATGGAATACAAGCAGAGCTTTGGAAGGAGTCAGGAGAGAAAGTTAAAAACAGATTATTTCAAATCATCAAAGATACCTACGCAACTGGTGAAATACCAAAGGATTTCATAAAAAGCATAAATATCCCCATTCCAAAGAAAGCAGCAGAAAATAAATGTGAGGAATTCCGCACCATAAGCCTCCTATCACATGCATCAAAAATACTAACAAAGATTATATTCCAACATATTGAATCTAAGATAAAACAATCATTGACGGAGGACCAATTCGGTTTCAGGTAAAAAATTGGAACGAGAGAAGTAATACTGGCATTGAGAATAATTATTCAGAAAAGGATTAGGAAGGATAAACAAACATTTATAGCTTTTGTGGATATTGAAAAAGCATTTGATAATGTGAACTGGACATTAATGTTTAATATGATAAAGAGAGTGGGTTATAAAATACGCAGACAGGAAACTGCTGTATAAGTTATACAAGGATGAGTTGGCTGATATAAAATTCCAAGATAATGTAGAAGAGGCTAAAATAAATAAAGGAATTAGACAAGGATGCACTCTATCACCAACTATATTCAACGCATATATCCAAACAGTGGCGTGTTGAACTAATTTTTGGTGAAGAGCAAAAATGTATATACCATAAGGTACCCTTTTTTCATTCTGACAGCATTTCCACTACAACAAAACATTTATAATTAAAAAAATATACGTATATTAGACTGTATAATCAGATGTACTTACTTAATTATCTAGTAAATTTATTACACTCATTAATTATCTTGTTTCTTGATCTATGCAGTGTATGTGAATTTTGAATAATGTTGTTAACATTGGTATTACAATTAGTTAACACCAATTGTTTCTAGTGTAACAGATCATATACAGTACATTTGTGCGCCAAATATTTATTATCACTTAAAACATTTGATATGATGTTATGATGTATCTATATTATTGTTACTTATTGTTAAGTATTTTTTGGCAGGGGGATCACCCACCTACCAAACATTTTGAAGGAGCAATTGTTCCAAAATAATATCATCACCATGCTGCTGTGTCCAAAAGCAATAGAAAAGATAAAAAATGAGACCAATCTAAGGATAAAAATTAATAGTCAAAAAATAAGTATGTTTATAGACATTACGTTAATTGCTGAAACAGAGGAAAACTTAGATCAGCTAATCAAAAGTATAGATAAAATATTCATCAGGGATTTGCGTATGCAAATAAATATGCAAAAAACATAAGTACTCATTTGAGAATAAGAATACAGATAAAGCTACGAGGAAACCAGACAGTAAAACAAGTGGATGAATTTGCATACCTAGGGAGCATCATCAGCAATGATGGAAGAAATAGGAGTGAAATAATAAAACTCATCTGTCTAACTAAAATAAACAGCAAGAAAACTCTTCTCGCATCAAGAAACATTAGCTTAAATATAAGGAAAAATCTATTAAAAACATATGTATGGAGTATAGCCCTTTATGAGTGTGAAACATGGACAGTAGCAACGGAAGAGCGAAGAAGGCTAGAATCTTTGGAAATGTGGTACTACAGAAAAATGTTAAGAATAAGCTGGATAGACAGTGTAACCAATGAAGAGGTGCTGAAAAGAATAACAGAAGGGAAATTAATATGGAAAAATATAGTTAGAAGATGAAACGAATAGATAGACCATATAATGTGACACAAGGGACTGCTAAAACTGGTCATAGAAGGAAGCATAGAAAGGAAGACTAAGATTAGAGTATATTCTACAAATAATAAAAGACCAAGGATGTAACTCATACGTAGAAATGAAAAGGAAAGTGGATTATAGAGAAGAATGGAAAATGACTGCAAACCAATCTACGGATTGAAACCATAGAGAGAGAGTATAAAATATTTGTAGGTTGTTGTCGAACTAGGATAGGTCCTCTCACCTACCTCACCATTATGGCTCCATTGCAGTGGCATGTTGAAGTTATTTTTGAAGAAATTAGAAGACTTATTTGTTTTTTATGTTATGGAAATAAAATATAAACGTTTAAAAAATTTCCAATATTGTATTTTGATAATTGAAGAAATTCATTTTATTAATAAGAAAATAATTTAAGGGGTTTATGAAAAATATGGATAGGAGGAGATAGAAGGAGGGTAGTCATTGTCTTACATACACTTACATTGTGGGAGAAAGGGTTAAATTTTAAAAACGTGCTGACATAATACTTGAATACTACCCAATGTGGAAAACTAATTATGTTATAAAAGGAAAAAGAACCTATTTTTTTATTTTTGTTGTAAAATGTATAAGTAAATATCAACAAATAATATCAAGAAATTTAAACTTAAATATTTTTATTCTATACATTGGTAGTTCTATATACAATGTGAGTTTTTTTTTAGATTGATAAAATTAATTAATATTTCATTATATCATATTTGTAATTTTTTGAAAATTGCCAATTATCAGTATATTATTTTTAATTAAAACTATTTTAAATAAAATTATTATTTTTGTAAAATGTATTATATAATTGATAAGTATTAAAAAATTGTTTACTAGATGCATTACTGATAAATTGCTTATATATTTCAGATGCCATTGGAAGTTATTGAACGTGCATCGGGATTACAATTTTTTAAAAGACTGACACTTGATAAATTCATTAAACTGGAAAAATAATTATAATTGTTATAGGGTAGTTTCATTTATATTTGTATTATATAATATAATCATATATCCTTAGTCTATTTTTATTTTGTATACAATGGATGTATCTTTAATCAGTGGCATGGCAAACTCAAAAACTTATAAAAGCAAGTATATTTTGTCAATACCCACCTATCCCCCAAAAAAATGAGAGCCTCTCCATTATCCACATCACCATACCATTGTTGGTACTTATAGCCCCCCCCCCTTAAATGTAAGCCGTAGTTACACCACGGTTTAAGATATACAGTTTAGCTATCATATATCTAAATTGCATTGATAGCTGACGGTCAGAATGCGTTACGGGTTTAGTACACATTTTCTCCATATCTGTAAAGCAATAGTAGTATGTAGGGTTAGTTATATGTTAGTTATATTATTATTACAGTAGTTACATGAAAAATTCAAAGGATTTGACAGAAGTTGAGTTTACTAATTTAAAATTAAAAGGAGGATTAACCAAACCAAATTTACATTTATTTCACTTTCTATACAAAGTAGAAGAGTGCTTTACTAAACACTGTATGCACGTATATGGAAGTTTAAAATGTCCATGATTCATATTACATCAAATTTTATATTGTATGTTTTGCATATTTTGCATATTTCGAGAGTTAATGCATATAACATGCATATTTAAAAAATTACAATTTTTTGTATTTTTTTAAGTTTTCTATTCGTTTTTTTTGAGAGTAGGAAACTTCAATTAATCTAAAATATTTATTTTTAGTTTTTTTTTTATTTGTATTCTCGTTTTTAAGTTTTCTAAAAGTTTTAGATTGATTTAAATTATTTGAAATATAAAGCAGTGGATATTATCATTTCTTTTGTTTTTGATAAAATATTTAGAATTTTATTTGGTATAAAAGTGTGGTTCTTTAAAAAAAAAAAAAAAACATTTTATTAAGTGTAGCATAATGCATATAATTGCATATTTGCATCATATTTGACACTTTTTAAATGTATATAAATCTGGGCTCTAATTATATAATATTATATAATCAATGATAATACCAATGAATGATCACAGCTAACATGATGCACCATATAGTAATAAAGTGTACTACAATATTAAATTTGAATTACTAATAAATTAGTTAATAACCTTTAATAAATTATTACCTATATTAAATTTATAATAGTAATTGTTAAATTGCATTACATAATACAAATCAAAGGATAATTACACAATGTAATTTATCACATGTCAGTTATTCATTAATATGTACAGTAAGTCCCGTATCACCCTTACCACCCTTTCCCACAGGAAATCAATATATTTAAACGCGGTTATTTTACAATACGTAGTATGGAATTTTTGGAATTTTTGATTGAATGGCAAAAAATTCAATTTTTTTTTGAAATAATTAAAAAAAAAAAAATTTTATGCATTAAAAAATTTTCAATTTTTAAGATAGTCATTTTCTTGAGCATATTTTTTAAAACAATTAAAAAAAAAAAAAAATTTTAAATTGAATAAAAATTGACCAAGTTCGAACAAGTTTTGTTTTTGAATAATTATAATAATAGTTGTTACCTAGCAAAACACGAATTGATCGATTTAATCAACCTCGATCAGTGTCGCAAAAACCACAGGGGCAGCAGATGCAATGCCTCTGTAAAGGAGGCTCTTGTGGTTGGTTTTAGGGCTCCCCTCCCTCTAAATAATTTCATTATGATAAATTACATAATACATTATTTCATGCATTTATTCTTATAATTATACAATTGTATATTTTTATTAATTACAATTTTATCTGAACGGGGCCCTCCGGATCTCACATTGATATAATATAAGCTATAATATTATTGATAACATATAGTGTTATGCAATGAGTTATTTTTATATATATACCATTGGGATTCCCGAAATAATTATTGTAATCGCCGTTCGTGGCATATTTATATAGGCGTGAGCTGGACCCCTAACCTAACCTATGATTATATAATTTGTTTATGTCATGTTACAAAATACTGATACAGTGGTAAATTTGTATAAAAATAAATACGGGCCGGCGGTAGTCAATACGACTTCTCGGTACTATAAAGATTATAATATTATTGTTAAGTGCATTGGGAGCTGGAACAATACAAATAATAGCCGTCGATAAATTAATTTATTTTGTCAAATAATATATAACTTAGAATTTTGGTTGTCATATATCTAATATTTTATTATCAAATTATACATTTTTTTTAAAAAATAGAAAAAGAAAATGAAAAAAAAAAATTCCCTGGATTTTTCACTCAGGGTCCCATAAATTAATTGTGTCCAGGGCTCCAAGAATCCTAGTTGCGGCATTGATCTCGATTGAACGCTGATTTTTTATGGCAATCTGTAAATATCTAATTATTAATATTTAATAATTAATAATAATAATAATAATAATTAATTAATAATAATTAATAATATCTAATTATTAATATATAATTATTAGTGGAGCTTTTAGGAAAAATTAAAATTCATATACTATTTTTAAACTTGATTGTTAAAAGAAAAAAAAGATTTTATTACATAAAAACGAAAATAATGCATTACATTTTTTTTTATAAATGTTCAAAGTGACCTCCAATATTTGTAACACAGAGCTGAAATTTTTGGACCCAAGCGTTTTCTAATGTCTCAGGTAAAATATTTTGAATATTTTGTCACGGAGATCAGGCAATGAACTCGACGGATACACAAGATTTTTCAAATAACCCCATAAAAAAAGAATCCATTGGTGTTAAGTCGGGTGACCTAGGTGGCCAAAGCACTGGATTATTGAAATGTGAAACAATTCATTTTATGTTATAATTATTCAAAAACATAACTTGGTCAATTTTTATTCAATTTTATAAGTTTGTATATACTAAAAAATTAAACTATATTTATTTAGACATTTTATGGGAAAATAGCTACAGCAGTTAGCAGTTGATGCATTGAAATATTTGAAATCATTTAAACATATCAAATAAAAAATTTTAATTCCATCTTATCAGTTAGCTTTTATTATTGATAACAATAATATTTTCGGAACATATTGATTAAGATAAAACATTGTAATAAAAACACTGATTTTAATAAAAGTAATCTATGAACCGTTTTATAAATATAAAAGAATACATGACTATCCACGGGGTATGGTTAAAAATTATGATAATTTGAAAAGTAAATAATACAATATTTATATGTTTTGTAGTTCATCAAATTGTGTATTCATCATATGAGTAAGTAACAGTAATATTAAAATAATTTAAAATTTATCTGTATTATTGATCTGTTAATATGAGGTTTCTTGTTGAAAAAATAGTTGAGTATTAACTATAATATTACATTATTGATTTTGAATTGGTAACGAGGTGAGCTACTTTAACATATGGAGCAATAATTTTAGTTCACCCACCCACCCACCCAATATTTTATTAAACATACAAAATAATATGATTGCTACTTTAACTGACATATCAAGGCAATGATATAAAATTCAATAAGAATAAAACATCAGTCAACTCTTAGTATATTCAGTATTCTTAATTTATATTAAACTTACAATACCCAAAACAAAAATTCTGGAGAATATCAAAAACTGTGACTATATGATGTATTTGTGTAAATTATTAGTATATTATTAATTAATATGCTTTTAGACCATAAACTATAACTCATAATAGTTATAGCAGTATAACCACAAAAAAAAAATAATCATTTATTATTTAGACACATTCATAATATACTTGTTAATACTTAATTAGATTATCCTGTTGCTTATCATTATTTTATGTATACTTGTACTTCATTAATTCTAGTAGATATCTAATATTATGCACTGTATATGTATAATATATTAAATACTAATACTTACTCCAAATTTTGTATGAATGGCTGCTCCTCTGATCTCCTTCAGCATACTACTGTCTTAAATAATGTGCTATATTTCCTTGCTACATAAAATAATGCTGTGTTTTAAAATAAAATATTCATAGTGATCATATTTAATATTACTATGTATTATTTTATTTATTTATTTTTATTACTTTTAATTATAAATTCTTTATAGTTGAAATAATTCACCTGTTTTGTATGCATATTTTTTTAAGACATTATTTTTTTTTAATTAAGTACAATTTTAATTCTATTCTCCTCGCTACTGTACTTGTGCAGCAATATAAATAAAGCCTAACTACCTTGAGTATTTAAATTAGCACCAATTTGAATGATAAAAATGAAAAATTCAATTAATTTTTTCTTTACTCATTTTCTTTACTCAATTTTTATTCATTCTTTGAATGCTTTAAAAATAACTAAACAATTTATTATTATTAACTAACCAGCATAATTGATGTTTTGGTATAATTTCTTGTTGATTTTCTTCGTATTTTTTTTTAATTAATTATAAATGATCAAACTTACATATTATTCATAATAATGCTCTAAATGAAAATTCAATAGAAAAATCAGAATTAAATATTTCTCGCTAGATTAAAAAAAATTATAAAAAACTATTATGTTAGTTTTTTTGATTTAAGAATATTACTTTTTAATCACTTATTAATATAATTTTTTAAATAAATTTGTCAGTTATAAATTGTAATTTTTGTTAATTTAATGGTATTTGCATATTAAACCGTATGTTATAAATATGTCTAATTATTCGCCTATACAATTTTTTAAATATTTTTTTTTTCTCAACATCGCCCTTTAAAATAATTAAATAGGTACCTATGTTATTGAAAAATTAAATTTTTTTTTTCTTTTGCATTAAAATAGTTGTATCAAAATGCCTTCTTACTCATTAATTGAGTGTAAATTACGTCGCTATTTTTATTTGGGACATGAATACTCAATATATGTTCCTCCTGGAATTAGAAAATCATATTGGGATCAAAGACACCATGAAGATATTACTGGCATACGTATAATTGGAAAAATTGTAAAAAAAAATAAAACTGAAGAGATAAATTCTATTGTTCCAATAATTTTAAAGATTGGTTAAATTATAAAAAATTATTAAGTTTATTATTTTTTATTTAAAAATATTTTTTATAAAATTTCAGATAAAAAAAAGAAAATAAGTTAATTGATGATAAGCTCTTGATATATACATTAGCTATTTGTGCCAAATTTAATTTGGAGCATTGTGCGAAATTAGTTTCAGGCGCTTATGATGCAGTAACAGCAATATGTACAGATGGATTAAAATTGTTGATGTTTGTTCACTTTTGTCATAAAGCTAGTTATATTCTTCATAATGAGGGTATTTTTTTTTTATTTTTTTTTATATCGATAGTAATAAAATTTACATTTTAGGATTTGTAAAAAATCCATCTTCTGGGTTTGGCAATGGTTTTCGTAAGGCTTTGAATAAATGGTATTTAGGTAGGGATCCATTGTTAACTACAGAACAAATATTAAGATATAAATCCTATGAGGGCTGGACTCATAAAGATATAATGAATCTAATTCATATTCGTTCATCTGATCCAAGTAGTTATAAATAAATACCATAACATATTTAACATAAATAAATAATTTATTATTTAAACATAAAATAGATTATCAAATATTTATTATCCATACAATGTATGGGTTTGCAAGAGTTGAAAAAATATATGGACATACTTTAAAAGATGTTTCAATTTATGATGATAATGAAACATTTGAAATGAAACAGTTAAAATTTATTTTTAATAAATTAAAACTAGTACATGATATATCAAAAATGGATGAAACAACCTTACGGTATGAAATCGAATTACGCCGATGGGGACATGAACATCAAGTTATACCTAAAAAAATGCTCAACAGTCCTATAGTTAGTAATATATTTTTGAGAAAATAATATATTTTTTAAAAAATTAAAATGTTCCTTTAGATTTTAACTGCACTTGTTATGCATTTACCATTGAGGATATTATTGGACAACACATTTTTTTTTGCCAGAAAACGATTATTTAAAAACTCAACACCTGATACTGGACTTTGGGAGTTCATTTTACGATTCAACAACCCACATGAAGTAAAAAAATGGCGAATACATCCAATTGAATCATATTTAGCATATGTTAGATATTCTAGAACAAGTCAGTAAGTAACACTAAATTTATATTTTTGTCTTTGTGTATTAAATGTTATATAATAATCATTTTTAAATAAATTTTATAAAAATTTAATAATTAAAGGTTTGAAAAAAAAACTATTTCAGGAATATCTTGAAAATACAAAATAATATTTTAAAAAAACAAGAAAATTTTAAAATTAATCCACCTAATAAACTGATAATAACTATTGCCTCAGGAAATCTAAAAAAATTGACAAATAATTCTAATATCCAAAATACAAACCAAACTTCTAAAACATTGTTACAAAAAAAAAATTCTCAATCATCTGTTGGAAATGAAAATAAATTATTTCAAGCTGAACCATCAAATTCAAGAGAAATAAATACGCAACAAATTAAAAATAATAAAATATGTAATACAGTTTTGAATTCTACAGTAAAAGATTATAAATCTAAACAATCAAAACAAAAATCAACTAAACCTAATCCAAAGAAATCTAACATTAGTCAGACTTCTAAACTAACAAAACTGTTAGAAATATCTGAAGAAAATAAGAAAAAAAACAATCAGTCTGCTGAAATTGCTGATCAGTTATCAAATTTAAATGTCAGTGTCCAGCAAAATAATTCTGAATCTAAAACAATAATGGATCAAATTCAAACAGTTGATGTGAATCAAAATCAGCCATGGGTATTTACATTATTGAAGTCTCCTCCAAAATTATCTTTAGAGTTGGAACATTTTTTATCTGAAGATCTAATAAAAAAATCATTAGCAGTATGTATTATCAAATATGTTAATTTTAGTATTACATTTTACTTAAGTCAAAGTATAATAATAAAATTAAGTTATTTTGTTTTTTAGGTTTTAAATCCTATTGACCAACGTATAATAATAGCGTATGATAGTCGGGTGATTATGAAAAAAAAAATGTGTTTTTATTCAAAGTTACTTTATGTACATGAAGCTATTACACTGATAATACTTTCTTTAATATATCCAAATAAAGTACTAAATAAACCAACAATTTGTGGTTTAGATGAAACTGGAAAACCGTGTAAAAATGATATGAAAATTGATTATGAGAAACCTTTGACTTATGAAAGTTTGGAATCTATTTTATTTGAGGTAATTTTTTTGTTTATACAAAAACATACAATTTATTTTATTTTATTATATGTACAATTAAGAAATTATTAATATGAATTTCTTCATTATATGTAGTTACTCAGCAATGAAAAAGTTTACCAAATTATAATATTTTTATAATGCTTCTTGAAATATGAATAAAATTTGCAAAAAAAGAGGATTGAATGGTTTTGTTTGACAGATTATGTAGCATTATATACTATATTGGCAATTAAAATTTTTATCTTAAATCAGAGTATAATTAAATACTATTTTATTTTTTTTTCGTTTATTATTAAGATAACATTTAATTAAAGTTGATTATTCTCATAGTTAATATTTTATAAATTCTTAATAGCAAAATTGATGTCATTATGTTTCATAGTTATAAGTAAAGATCGGATATAATTGCATTAAAAATATCTTAAAATTGTACTAAAAAGATACCATGCAATAATGCAATACGATGCAATAGAGGTATATCAAAATTGCAGTATAAATATGTTGAAATTGCAATGAAATACATAAAAATTACATAGTAAAATCATATCAAATATATAATCATTAATTACTTAAATAATGTTATGGACATTTATATAATATTTACAAAATATATAATTTTTCTGAATTAAAATTTATAATTATATACATCTCTGAATTGTGTGTATTGAATTGGGTGTTGTATCTAAATAAACATTTTGATTTCTTGCTATAACCTCAGAGTAAGTTTTAATAGTTTTATATCCTTCATTTCTTTCTAAGACATATTTTAATTTATCTTTAACTATTTTTCCATTAGGACCGGGAATATTTATAGAAATATTTATACTAAATATCTTTATTTAGTATTTGTTTAGTATTTATTTATCTATTATTTATACTAAATATGTTTAAACTATTAAGTAATTGACTATTTTATTCTTCTAAACTTATGAGTTTTGTAAAATCACTTTGAAAATAATAATTTGTATATTTTATCACATGAAGTATACAAAAATTGTTATTATTGCAAAAAAATGCAAAATCGTTGAAAATTGCAAAAAATTGCATTATTAAATTAAAAAGGAAGACTGTAACAATTTGCAATATTAATTAAATCCGCTCTTTAGTTATAAGATAATTCCATTGATTATATAATATATATTATATAATCAATAATAATACCAATGAATGATCACAGCTAACATGATGCAACATATAGTTATAAAGTGTACTATAGTATTAAATTTTAATTATCTATAATTTTTTCTATCAAATTTAGTTAGAGTTGGTTGTCACCCTTTAAATTTTGAGTGAAACAAAGATAAGCTATGTGTTGGTTAGTGGTGGATGTATCTAGATTTGACAAATTAAATTATTCTGATTTGTCAAATATGGATTTAAGAAATCCCAATTTCATAGACTATCCAGATTATTATTGGATTCAATTTTGTTGTTCATTGATTCATTTTTTATATTCACATAAATTTAAATAAATGTTTGCAATAAAGATAAGTTAATTGAGTATTCAGTCATGATATCACTGGAAGTCATAAAAGTATAAAATAAACTCAGCAATTTAATAACATATTTTAGTAACTAATAATAAATTGTAAAAATTGTTGAGTTCATGTTAAGTATACAGTTATTCATAAAACAATATTAATTTATTAATCAATTTAAATTACTATAAAATAAAATAATTTATTTTACTAAAAATTAAAAATAATTTTAAGTCTCAAAAACAAATCCATTAATCTGGATACTTTGATAATTCTTGATAAGAATATTTGGATATTTGGAAAATTTAGAACTTCTGGTTTATTGTTTATCCCTATTATTAGTTTTACCATGTGTGTTTTTTGTCTGTATACATGATTTCAACCAGAATGAGCAGTTATAGAAAGACAAATTTAGGAATTGGTGTTTAGTTGGTACTTTAGGGGTCATTTCTTAAAATTTTCAGAATAACTGAAAAAAATCATTTTTCTTAAATAATTATTATTAAAAATACCAATTCAGCAATATCATTTACCTATCCCTATATTTCAACCAATCTAGGGGTTTCTTATTTTTTTTTTTTTTAATTTTATGTGGTAATTTTTTCTCCTACATTCAAATGTTTTAAATGTAATAAGTTAATAAAGGAACCAAGTACAAATCATATACAAATTTAAAGTAACGTGTATAATAGGGTACCTAATGTAATGACCACTTATAGATATTGATTTCCATGGTTTTTAGACTCCGGTTAGTGAAACATCAGATGAAAATAAAAAAGATGTTCCATATATCAATCCTCTATCTACTTTGAATTGGGCTAAAGAAAATAATAAAGAATATGATATTTTTGTATTTTTGGGAACTAACAAAATGAATTTAAAAAACATAGATGGAGCTATTAAAGAATATCAAACGGCTTTAAAAAAAAAAGTGAAGTATGTATCTTTTGAGTATTGTTTTCTTTAGTTGTCTTAATATTGAAATCATTATTAATAATTAATAATATTAAATTTAAACCATTTGAAAATGATGGAAAACAGCATAATTTTAAATATTGTTATTGTATGAAAATAAAAATAATTGTGTAATAATTATATTATCAAGTATAGTTCTTAAGATCAGCCTTTTTTATTACCTTATTAATAATTGATAAACTGATAATTTTTTTTTTATCAATAACTTATTTTGTATTATGATGTATTGAATTATTCTTAATAAATAAAAAATATTGAGAATTATAACAATTCATTGATATTACAACTAAACCCTTTTATTAAAATTTGGTATACATTAATAATCTAATTAAAAAAATATTTTCCAGGATTGTTGTATGTTGTTTAAATGGCAAGCATTTTGACCAAAGAAACTTAGGTCGAGGGAATAGGCTATTTATTGCTGGTTTTGACAAAAATGTTGGAAAAATAATTGAATCTTTTTTAAACGAAGAATTTTAAGTTTATTTCTTAAATATGCTGAAGTGTATTTAATTGTTAACATTAAAAACATAATTTATTATTTCATATTGAATTGTTTAATTTATTTTTCGCTAAAAGCTACTTTTTACCAATTATCTTAATGTAAATATCTATATGTAACAAGGGTATTAAACTAGAGCTCTTAAAACACGTGTCACGGAATTCACGCGTACACGTGAAATACATGTTTATCCAAAATATATATCCATTTTTACAATGGTAAAATTAGTAATTTTATGTTATATACTTGAAGTTTTAATAAAATATTAATAGTACAGTATTAAGTTAAGGATATACGTTTTTATTTTGGATTTTACACGTGACACGTGAATTCACGTGTATTAAGAGCTCTAATTTAAACACTATTTGTAAATGTTATAACATAATAATGTTTAATTTTTATATTCAATAAACTAATAGTTTTTATTTTTAATTTTATATAATAAAGTTAAATATAAGTGAAATTTTACTGCATGAGAATTTTTTATTTTATACTTATATAATTCTGCAAAATTAGAGAACCTGCATAAGCTAAAGCAATTGTTGACAAAATTAAAAGATATCGAAAAAAATATTGGATTTGATCAACCAAAAATATTGATTTTTTTAAATGAACAAAATTAATGAATTTACTATAGATATTAGTAGTGATACACAATTTTTTAAGTTTATGTAAAAAAAAGTTCTATATATGTGGAATGTCCATTTTCAAAATAAAAATATCTTATAGTTCAATGTAATTGTACAATACAGTAATCCCTCGTTATCCGCGAAGGTTACGTTCCAGCAAACCTGCGTGGATAACGAGACCATAAATCAATGTAAAAAGGGAGGTTAGGTTTAATTTTTTTTAATTCCTACAACTAATTTATTTATTATCTATCGTATTGTTTCTTCATTTTTACGTATTTCTCGAACACTAGACTCATTTATTTTGTACGTTCTAGCAAGTGATGCTCAGTATCACCATTTTTTAATTTGTTCAAAATTTCAATTTTTTGAACGATTAATAAAAAAACATTTATTCACCTTTTTATTGACATTTTATATTGAGAAGCCATTTAAAAATATTTTCACTACTAAATTTATTAAACACTGCTGTATATGCGTCACGCACAAATATCACCTTACAAATGAGCAATTGACGATTATTAATCGTGCATGGTGTAAGTAACTTTTTGTGGTTTATCTGCAATAAGTATAAGTATTTATAATGTACATGTGTTATACCTATAGCGATATAACAACAATTATTGTCAAAAATAAATTTCTACAGTGTTCGTGTAATAACGGTAAAACGTTATCGCAATCGCAATGACATTAATATGTTATCGTGGACCCAACCGCGGATAACGAAGGATTACTGTATTAATTAAAAGAAATGTACAAATATATTCAAATTAAGTTAATTTAAAAAGATATTAAATTGTTGTATTTGACTAAAACTCGAAGTAAGGAAAAAAACGAAGAAGATAAATAGGTAATTATTTGTTATTACAATTTTTTTTTAATAAAAATAACAATTTTTAAATTTTTTAAATATTTTCTAGATATTAATACATCTCCGCCTGAAAAGACGTTGGTGCCGCGACCTCCTAAATTAATTTAAATTACGCTCCGAAGGGTTCTATCAATGGATAGCCTCCCTCATCAAGCTATTCCATTATGTAATAATATTGTATAAATTTCTTATTTACTTATTGTGTTTTTTTTTCCAAATACAAATTATAAGTTTTTTTAATAAAAAAAAAAAAATTTTAATATTAAAAGTTTTTATTAAATACTTTACATATTTATTTTTTTAATGCATATTTAGTGATTCCTTATAGTATAAATGCATGCACATTTTATGGTTTTTTTAGGAAATAAGGTCCCTAGTCATAGTTTTCATTAATAAATATTAAGCAAATTAGTTATTTTACATAAATCATTTATTTACTTTGTAAGGAATTGTTTAATTTGGATGCACAAAATAATCAAAATACATTAAGATTCCAATTTCCATAAGACCAGATGGGTCTTATTATTGTTTTGAAAATTAATAATTTTGTTTTTAGGCTTAGTTTGGATTTTAGCAGTGGACGAAGAAGTAACGTCAAACTTAAAACGATTAAACGATTTTGATTCCTATTTTCTGTTGAAAGCATGAACTTGCACTAAGTTTACGGTTGAAAGTGCTAAATTTGCAGTGTAGCCACTTATAATAATACAGAGTACTTAATAGTTATTTTTATTTTTTAGGTGGTTTACTAGGTACTATCAAATTATCAAAAATATCACGAGATTTGATATGATAATAATAATAATAAAATATAATAGTTTTTAATAAATAAAAAATAAAAATATTTGTTAATTATTAAACATCTTCTTGTCGTGTCAGTGTTCTTTATTACCGATTTAAGTAACCTTGTAAATGATTTGTGTCACTAATTTGTTTATTCAAGTACAAACATTGGATAAGACATTGATCTATTAAAAAACATGAATTGTCTTCAGAATGTTGAAATAATATATATGTAAATGTCAATTGTGCCTACAGTTTATTACAATTGACAAAATGATTTTTAATCTAATATCTAGTCACAAATTTAATAAACAATATTATCCTAACATGCCTTTGAATCATATGACCAACGAGTGGAAACTGTGAAGCAATCAACTCTTTCATTGTCAGTGTGTAGTATGGGCTGTGGTCCTAGTCATTTTGGTATCTCATATTCCAGAAAGACCAAGAAGAAAAAAAACAAGTTTAAAGAATCTGGTGAAGTATATTAAGGAAACTATTAAATATTCTAGATCTTGTTTTACCCTGTTAATTCTAATTATTTGTCAATATTACGGAAACACTTTTGTAATACATCTAACATTTCGGGAGGAATTTTAATGAGCGTGTTATTTTCTGTTTTTAATTTGTAAATTTAGATAGGTACCTAGTTCCAATTATTATTTTAATATTATTTTTTAATTCTATTTCATTTGTATTTGATTTTTTTTATTCTAAATATTTTTTATTATAGTATGTAAATAAAAATGAAATAATATATTTATTAATAAATATTATATTCTACTACTATGGTACATTTAATAATTTATTTTAAAATTACTATAAAATAACTCTCATTAGTATCGCAATAAAATATATGATAAAATAAAAACTATAAGTATCCATATTTTTGGTTGGGCTGAGGAATTTCCTCTGAACCAAATTTTATAATTCAACTAATTAATAATAAAAATTAAAATGACCATATGAGAGTTGAGTTAAGGTTGGAGTATTGTTATCATATAATATTATTGTACCTAGTGTCTCTATTCTTAATTACATATTTCTTCAGTGATCTATTACAATTTTTTTCTGTTAATTAAAAATGACCGTATTATTATGTTTAAGTTCATACCAATGTCCAGTGGTAGGGCCAGGTATTTTCAGGTATTGCCATGACCTGCCTCTGGTGCTGCCATTCATTGGCATAACTAGAGTTCTATTTCTGGGTTGGCTAAATTTTAATGATTAAATGATACCAGCGATCCATGGGGGTTTTGTCCTCACACTTCCAATATTGATTGCAAACACTAAAATTTATATTTATATTGATTAGAAGTCCTTACAACCTTACCTATAGTTTTTAATAGTTTCTTTCGAAATAAAATTTTGTCCCTTAGTCACTTATTACTTACAGACTAGCTACCTAAATAAATATGAATAAGAAGGATATACATGTATAATTAATAAAATATAAAATTTATAGCTATTAGATGTTTATTATAAAGCCTAATTAAATTAAAATTATTTTTCTATCATTTTTAGCAAATTTATTAACAATTTCATTTTTATCTAATTTGTTGATTATATCACTCTCTATATTTAAAATAGATAAATTTGTAAATCGATCTTGGGTCATGGAAGATCTAAGCCAATTTTTTATTTGTCTCATTGAAGAGAATGACTTTTACAGGTGACTGAACTTATAGGAATAGATAAAGCCACTTGTAAAAGTTTAAAAAGGTTTGGAAATATTTGTTTTTCGACAATTTCTTTGACATCATTTAAATTGAAATTTTTTTTTACTACTTAAAAGATTAAATATCACTCTCATTTATGCTTCTAAGCTGCCTACGCTTTGAAATGTGTAGTAATTTCTATTATTATAATTAATTAATTAGTTATCATTGATATCTTATACAATTAAAATGTATCTATATACATATTACCAAATTACCTTATAATGATCGATAAACTTCATTGAATCGGTTATAACTAATTTACAAAATGAATCAACCAAACTGACCATAGCCAAGCTTTCATTAGAAAACCTATATTCAAGATTTGAAATAACACTTCCCATAACAAAATATGTAAAAGTTTTGCAATCATTTTTCATATAATTTGCTAATGACGAATATGAATCATTTTCTGCCGCCGTGGTAGCCGTTAATACATAGTCATGAAGGCTAGGTTAGTTAACTCTTTCTGCAACCTTTTGATCCTATATTTTTTATTTTTTATTTAAGTTAAAAAACAAAACAAATCATCAAAATTACAAAATGTATTCATAAGTTATGGAGTTTGTAACCATATGTAATTTTCTTCAGCAAATATTTTATTTGTTCCCATATTTTCTTAAATTCACCTTCAGATCCTAAAGTTTCAAATATTTTAATTACACCAAAAATTAAATTTTTAGAAAAACAAGAGTTGAAGTTTTATTCTATAGTGAAAATAGGTGGGCTAAGCCCAACCAAGCCCCCCCCCTAGTTGCATCTATGCCACCATTACTTGTTAAGCCAACTGTTACAAAAATAATTTATAAATATAATAACTTTCGGACTTAAATTAAATTAATATTCTAATATGTATCAAGGGCGTACCCAGAGGGGGGGGGTTGAGTCCAGACCCCCATTGAAATGTTTACACACTCAACAATTTAATAACTAAATGGTATAATAATAGTATATAGTGTATTTTAATTTCCCATTATCAGATAAAATAAAAATTTTGGATCCTCCCCATAAAAAATTCCTGGGTACGCTCCTGATATGTATACAATGCTAATTGCTTATATAATTAACCATTTATAAAAAAAAACTTAGTAATATTAGTTATTAACTCTGTGAAAAAGTTGATTCTCTCAATTATTATTTTTATAAAGAATAAATTTAATTATATTAAAAAAAAAATAGCAACAAATTATGATAGTTTCTTTTTGTAATTTCTTATCAGCTTTTTTTAACTACTCAGTAAACAATTGAGAAATTAAAGAACTACCTTAAAGTACCAAATAGACACTACCTATCAAAAAAAAAAAAAAAAACATAGTTGTAAACTAATTCATTCCTCAATTATTAATTGATAGATTTTAGAATATCATTATTTTTAAATTTTTATTAAAACTATAGAACATATTATACTAATAACTTTAAGTTTACTTATGTTAAATCATTAAAAATGTTATTATCAGGGAACGGACTTTGATGCAAAATACATTTTTTAGTGGGTAGAATAGGGCAATGCTTTCTAAGTGTATAATTCGATTCATACATCAGAGAATTTAATAATGAAACTTTTATTTTGCATTTTTTTGCATTTTTTAAACTTTTTCAGTTTTTAAAGCATTTTTTGACATTTTTAGAGCATTTTTCCATTTTTAGGTCATTTTTCGTATATATTTGTTGCTTGGAATTATACAATTTTAGTTATTCTTACGAAGATCGGCTGATTGTATCTCTCTATACGGTTATACGTAATTCCCATCAAATAATCTCGATAACGTTACGATACGCGATATAAAATTAATTGGTGTCCGATTATTAGTAGGTACTCATAGAGTCGTTAGTCGTTAGTCGTGTTCGCTATCGTAATTCGAATAAGTGTGAAAGATGCCGAAAATTAAGCTGTCCGATCGTTGTCGTTTGCGTGTGTATGTACAAGAATTCGGTGAAAACAGTTAATAATTATTAATTAACATAAAACATTTTTCTGGCTAAAAAAAAAGATAAGCAAAAAGACAAAGAGTTTTTCTTTTATTGTATATATTTAAATATTTTTTTTATAAGATAAATTTTTTATAATGATGAATTTTTTATAAATTTTAAGTTTTAATAATATTATACACACACAAAACTGTTCAAAATTTTGTTTTTATCGAATTTAATAACATTTTTAATGTTTTTAGTGCATTTTTTCGATATTAAAGCATTTTTTTAAGACATAAGGTCATATTTTTTACGGACATTTTTCTTATTTTTTAAGACATTAAAGTCCGTTCCCTGGTTATTATTAATTATAATTCATGTTTTAGATGATGAAAAAAGTGAAGGCAGTGTTTATGAAAATCATGCTGAAGATCAAATACAGTTGACAAGTACACCATCTGTAAATAATTTATGTGATATGTCTGAAATGGATGATTCAAGTCAACTACATCAAAGTGTGACAGGTCCACAGTCTTCTAATTCACTATTTGTTAATCCGTTAGTATCTATAATGTTATTACTAATTAACTTTTAATGTACTAATAAATAATTTAATAATGCCATGTAAAGACAACTATCTTCTAGTCAACTCAATTTCTTCAGAATATTAGATGAAAAAATAGAAATGGTGAGTAATAACTAATAATAAATTCAATCTTTTTTTTATTATATTTGTTAAACTATAAATTATACATTTTTTAGGGTGCCGATTACAAACAAACTATTGAGGAACAACGTTTGGAAAAAATTCATCGTACACATGCACTGTTAATGGAATGGGAGCGAGCACGGATTCGAAATTCTCCAAGTTCTTGTTCAAATACAAAATCCCATTTTCTGCGTAATCCACGACAACCACAATTTCGTATATCTCATTCAGTTGTTCAGTTTGACCAAGAACTAGGTGCTTTTCATACTGAACTTATATAAAGAACATATTTATTAATAGTTGAAATGTAAACAGATATTTTTTTTGATATTAACTTTTGTCTGGTAAATATTACTTAATAAAATTGGTTTGAATTACATTAATTTTTAAATATTACAATGTTAATGAAAATTAAAATAATTTATATTGAGATTATTTATTTACACAATTATCATATAATGTACTTTATAAAGTTTCAATCAATATTTGAATTGTTTTTTTTTAATATTAAAAAAATATTTTCATTTATTTATTTATCAAATTTCTATATTTTAATATAATTTTTTATAACCTAAATAATTTTAAAATTAATTTGAAGATAAATTAATTTTTGGTATTATCAGACTGATCACCCTTTATTTTTCTTTATTGTACATTGAATTATAACTATACTAATTTATTATTTTATGTTATTAATATGTAATATTTATTATATTAAACAATGATGCAGCTAATAGTTTACTTAAAAGACTTAAAATATGCTATAGTTTAGTATTAAATAATTATAGTCTAATGTAGTATTATTCTCTTAAAAACTGTTTACCAAAATCTAATTATTATATTTATTGACTGTATATTTTTATTATTATTTAACATTGATTTCTTGATGCATGCCAAGTAAAATGTAACATCATTTCTATTATATAAAAAACACTAAAAACAATTTTTCTAACAAATTAACCATTTAATTCAATAATTTCTATTTGTAAATACTGAATATTCTGTATATCATTAAATTAAGTACTCAATGTAAAATTATTGCATGATTTGTAAAAAAATGTTTGAGTGCTTATGTGTTTTATGAATTAGTACATGAATTTAGTGAATAAATTATTCAAAATTAAATTACATACGAAAATTGCGTAATACAATCAACAGTTAGTTAATCAACGATTAATGTTGGCTTATTAAATTTTTCTAGTCGTTAAATGTTAATAAATACATTCTAAGAATCTCATTAGTAATTTAATATTTTAGTAAACTAATTTTATGTTGGCTTTAAATAGGATTAAAATTTTATTAGTGTGATATTTGAATAATTATTGGTAATTTTTACAATGTTACTGTTACATATATTAACTTAATTAGTATTAACAATTAGTTTGATATTATATTTTTTTTTTTTAAATAAAAATTTTGGTTTTATATATAGTTTGATCACAAGTTGAACACTTTGCTAATATCTCAAGTCGTATATATATTTTTATTTAACATTTTTGGAAATACATTCTTAATGTTTCATTTTTTTTTCTTTCTTTTTGTTAAATTCAATCAAATAATTATTATACTTAATACATCATACAATTTTGATTCATATAATTGTTCAGTAATTTAGGATGATTTATCGAAGATTGTTAAATTATTCTTATTTATTTTAAACAACTTTTTTTTGTATTGTCGTACTTTACATTTTAATTGTCTGAATATTTTAAGTTACCATCTGGTTTGTGTAAAATAATTTTTATATTTTTAGTGTTGGTGTTGATATATGTTATATTGCAAATGTTACTTATTTAATGCTATATTAACAAATTATTTAAGACAAATTATTAGCATAGAGATATTATGAAGTTACTTTAATGTACAATAATATTACAACATTTTTATTATTATGTATTAAGAAAAAAACAAAGGCTGTGAGTCAGAGTAATTTCAATGTTTTCCTTATACTTAAAATACATGTAATAATGTATGACTGAATTGTTTGTCCTCTAATTGTTTAGATTAATTTAGTATTTTGTAAATAATAATTTTATCTCTTAAATTAAATTTAAAAAAATGTTTGTGGTTTCGAGTGTAATATATATTATGTTTGAATTTGTTTTTAATTTATTTTTATTTTTTATTTTATTTATTTATTAACACATGCAGGGGTCAAGTAGATATATATATATAGATATATAATATTTCAGTAATTTTATGACAATAGCTACACTTACATACTACAGTTAACTATATACATATAATTTTAAATTTCTTTAAGAATCAAAATACACAAGTATATTACATGACAGACAAGCAGCATATTGGATTGCAAGTTATGTATTTATGTGTACTGGGGAAATATAAAGACTTAATACATTCCTAGAGTTAAATGTAGGGACTTTATACTAATATGTGATGGAATTTAGGACAATCTATCATTATATTTGTGACGATAAGCTAATAATACAAGATTAATACAAGTAGCAATACCTGAAGAAGTAGCCCATTTTATATCCAAACATATGTTAGAAACGTATTTGAAGTTTATCAAGCATTTCAATTTCACCAGACTGGAATGTATTCCAAACCCCAGACTAAAATGTACCAAACAAACACTTGATAAAGTGCAGCAAGACATTTTATTTTCTTAAATTTGACAACATTTCTTAATATAAAGTCAAATACTCATAATAATTTAGAATAAACTGAATTAATATGAGCATTAACATTTAGGTATTTTGAAAATATAATACCTAAGCCCGATCCATTTGAATAATTTAATCAATATACATCCAAATCTTAAAATTCACAGTAGATTTATGAAGATGAAAAGTAATATAAATACATTTTGATGTATTAATAGAAATATCATTAATTGTACACAAATCAACTAAACAGTTTAAGTTTAATTGTAAATTGTTAGTGGTATAAATAGAAGACATAGCCAAATAAGTCTAAATAGTAATAATCATCTGCAAAAAGTAAAAATTTACAATATTTTTTGCATTTTCACGTATATCTGAAGGGCAAATTTCATATTTTTTATAAGAAAACTATACTTGATTTTAAACAACTTTTCTTTTGTCGAGTTTTACTATTAAATTGTCACGAATTAAATAAAATAATATAATTTTAAAATTATTGCGATTATTTAATGCAGGTATGTCTAACCTTTTGTAAAGACTGGGCCACATCATATGGGTGGAAGTTGTTTTGGGCCATATACTTTTTAATAACAACACATTCAAATTTAATGATTTAATTATATTCTATAATAAAACAATACATTTTTTTTATAACTTTACAATAGCGAATAATAAGCAGAAATATTTTTACAAGTATTTAATTATAATTACACGGAAAAATATATTTATTTATAATAAAAAAAAAAATAATAAAATTAATGTGAAATTTGAAATCGCTTTTTTTTGTAATGTATCAATATCCGGATCGATTGAAGTTATGGCAATCCTTAAACAACTTTTAAGTTGTTTGTCTGATATAGTGGACCGATTCTTACTCTTTGTGTTTTTCATTCTTGAAAACAATTGTTTGCAAATGTATGTGTTACGAGTAACATTTGGATAATGTCGACATTATCCGGCTAATGTCAACATTAGCCATCTGTTGTGGCTAATATGTAATTTTTCGTGTATAAGCAGGAATTATTAACACTATCCCGATAATGTTAACCTTAATTAGTCAATATTGGACAATGTTAAAAGTTGTATATTAAATAGACTGTAGAGTTTTTATTAGCATTCTATACAATAATAAAGCGTCGGACTTCCAGAGTATCGTATATTTAATATCAACGCACGTCATTTGGTCGAATGACGATGGACGATAAATAAATTACCATAGTTATATTAAATTATTTCTAAATTATTATAATTATTATAAACTAAATTATAAATAAATCAATTGAAAATTCTCATAGGTAATATATTATTATACTTATAATTATTATCTATTTACTTTTGATTTTATTGTTCCAATCAGTGGATATTTTAACTAACATACTGGGCGACATTAATGTCGCCCAGTGAACATTTTTTGTCGCCTAGTAGACTATAATGTTAATAACTGGACGACAACAATTTTTTGGTAGAAATATAAAAAAAACGATAACACATCAAGTAATAATTAGAAATTTGGAATAATTATATTTATGTGTAATGCTATAAATTGCTAACATCACTATAAGTTGCCCATATTCTGTCGAATATACACACCAGCGATCGGCTTCATTATCTATTTTCATTTATATTGTTTTGTGGGTATTTGACGACGTTATCGCGGCGCCGTATCGCAGCGTTGACGTGTGTAATAACATGTCTATTTTTATTTCAGCCAAATTTCTTAGTATTTAATTTTGTTTTATCGTAAATATTCTGGTATTTTCTGGCATTTTTCCGGCATCCGTCGAACATCGAGATCGAAGTGGATTGATAAAAATCATAAGGTAAGAAAAAGAATATACGTATTAACTGTAAAAACACTTATCTAATTTTAACTTTTTTAAGAATTTTATATTAAAGCTTAAGTTACTATACACTACATTAACAAAGTCAATAATTTATTTGTTTAAAATTTAACAACTTAAACGGATTGCAAACTAGGCGATTCAAATGAAAATTGAAAAATAAATTCCACCGCAAATGCGATGTACAGTAACAACTTGACTAGTAGTTTCATAACCTATCAATGTTTTATAATAGAAGTCTCCCGAGTTGGTATTTAGTAAATACTTATCACGACGATTCGTAATTATAGGGCTCTTTATATTGTATGCTACCTGGGCTTATCCGTGTCTGAAAATCACCCTAAATTAAACACCCATATAATGATTTAGATACGTTTATTCTCCCATTTTTCTTAACGATCGCCTTCGACATTTTAGTTTACATTATGCAATTTAAAAATCAAATAATTTTTATTAAACTGTCATCTTCAAACATATATTATATTATATAATAGGTAATATTGTTTTTATTTTGTTTCCCTTGTAGATATCAATATATCAAATCAATTTAATCCGTTATAGTTTCCAATATTAAAATGGCCAAACGTATTACAGACTATTTTTTTGAAAAAGATCAAAATATAGAAAAAAAAGAAAATTAACTATTGAAAATCGTATACCGTGTACAAGTACCAATTCTTCGTCTAGTACACTTGATACGACAGAAAATGAATCTCAGTTAAATACAGAGTGGTATAAAGGGTCGAAACTAGATGTTACTTGGTTATTGCAAACATTTTCTATGCTCAAAAAAATTAAATTGGGGAAGCGATCAGGATTAAAATGCATGGTTTGCTTTGAGCAAATTTCAGAAGCTATTAAGTTTTCTCGTAATGGGCATGTCCCAATAGCTGATGGTATAAGATGTGATGGTAAAAGAGAATTGATGAGGGTTGTTAACCATTTGCATAGTGACGCTCATAATGCCGCTCGTAAAGCTGACGAGACTCAGCGCCTATGGCTAACACAGGCTGATAAACATCCATGGGTGAAAATTCTTAAAAACCATGAGTCGGAAATTATTAAAAATTTAATTGAATTAGCTGTCGATGTCCATAATGATAGCAAAGTATTGACATTATCTGCTAATTCTTGGCCATCTAGATCACTTTCAAAAATGCATGCTAATGCTCAAATTGCTAGTTATGGAGAACATGGTTTGGATTCTAAATTTGCTTGTTTTAAACAATCCTCTTCTGCAGTTCACTACAAAAATCCTGTTATATATCGTGAAATGTTAGATACAGTTGCTGAAATTACCATGGAGTCAGTTACAAACGAATTGAAAATTGCAGAATGTTTTACATTACAAGTTGATGGTTCTGTTGATAAGTATTCGATTGATAATAAATTCATAACAGCCCGTTACCTTGATAAAAATAAAGCTATGAAAAATATATTTCTCGGAGAAAGCCATTCTTCTAAGCGTGGAGCAGAAGGCTTACTTGATTCGGTTATAATCGTTTTAAAAAACCTTAATTTAGAACACACTGCTACACAAAACATGACTGGATTAAGTACCGATGGTGAGAGTGCCAACACTGGTAAGAAAATTGGTCTCTGGGTCAGACTTCAAGAACATTTGAAAAAAGAGATACTTTTTATTTGGTGCGTAGCACATAGGTCTGATTTATGATAGCATTTGGAGATTTACAAGCATCAATAGTGGAAGTAAAAAACTGGAAATCAAATGTGAAAGCTGTGGCTACATTTTACAGAAGCTCAGCAGTACGAATAGAAGAGCTCCAATTAATTTCTAAACAGTCAAAAAACAAGTATTATCGATTTCCAGAACATTTTGAAGTACGATTCGTTCAACATCTTATAAAATTAAGTGAATCAGTATGGAATAATTTAAAATCAATAAGAACACATTGGAGTTAAATAATCACCAACACGAGTGGAAATAAAACTGAAAAATCTGTAGCTAAAGGATTTTTAAATCTGTGGAAAGAAGGCGGAGATCAAGAGTATTATACTGCATTAATGATGGATATACTTTACCAGTTTGAAAAATTACAAAAAGAAGGCCAAAAATCGATGACCACTTTATGTGACATAGAAACTACGAAAACGGCAGTACTTGCATCGTTGGATATAATTAAAACTAATTGTTTTCCTGGTGGAAAAGAAGAAGACGTTTCGACAAAACGTTGAGTTTAAGTGTTAAAAATGAAATTATCCTAAGTTCCATTGAATTTCTCCAACAGCGACTTGATTGTGAACAAAAAAGTATAATCAGTCGACTCAAATTATTCTTAAATGCACAGAATGGTACAGAAATGATTGCTTCTGTAAGATGTGATGTTGAAGGATTATTTAACAAAACTAACCTGAGTCAGTTCAGCGATGAAGTCATTGGGCTATATGCAGATAATCTCCCAGCACCACGCAGTATAACAGATTTTACTGGAAAACTGTATTATTATTTAAAAATAAGTACACCAAACACTTTGTTTTCCAAACTCGTGCAGACATATATATCCCTTACTCCTCACAGTTGTGGGTCTGAACGCGCTGTATCTTGCCATACCATTTTAAAATCAAACAAGCAGTCTAATTATTCCAGAGAATCAATTAATAGCCGTCTTTACATTGCTTTAAATAGCGGTGGTACAGCAAACTTTGATCCTAGACCATCAGTAGCTAGATTTTTACAGAAAAAAGAACGTAGAATTAAAATACCGGATGAAGAAGCCTACAAAGACCATTTCTTTATAAAGAAGTTCTTTGAAGAAGTGTGAAAAATAATTCATTTTAAAATATTGACAATTAAATTTGTTATTTTTTTTTTTATTTAAATTATATACTTTTAAAATATATTATGAACCATTATTTATATTATTATAAATAAAAAGGATACATTTAACTAACAAGCTATTTGTTCTTATTGATATATTACGGGTTTGGACAGTATATTAGACTCTAACAGTTAGAGTTTCCAAGGTTTGTATCTTTCTTTTTTTTTTAGGCGCATAAAAAATGATAGGTTAATGTTGATATTAATTTTGCGTGGATTTTTTTTATGTCGCCCAGTGAAAATGTCTTAAAATATTCACTGGTTCCAATGACACTATGAGTACTCAATTGAGATGTTTTCGCCACTTCCTTCAAATAATTTATATATTCTCTAAATTTTAATTTAGATACATCAGACACATGATTTAATTAAATAATACATCATTTCTAATGTGAACGAAACCGCGACTGGTAAATTGTTTATAATCATTACATTTCCATATAATTTTTTCGTCGCCATCTTTTTCTTCTCGGTGCACATGATTATTGTAAATTAATAATTTTTTATTTTTTGGCTTAAAATATAATTTAGCGATATTATTAAAATGTTAACAGAACACTCCGTACGCGGCCGTAGCATATGGTTAACACGTAAAAATCATATCAAACGTTTATATATAAACGGCATACCGTTGCACAACTTGACAAGATAACATTTTAATTATTTTTATTATCTTAACTAAACAAGTTATTTATCAGTCCAATATAATATTGTATTAATTTATATCTATACTACTGTACCTATAGTCACTATACAAGTTCTTTACTCGTATAATTGTATTATATTGATATCTGTATGGCTGTATGAAAACTGCGGAAAAATCAACTTTTAGAAAATGTACCAATTTTGTCGCAATTTACCAGAGACGACCAAATGACACACGACGATTTATATTGTTCCCAAAATTAATTATTTTTTTTTTTACAGAAATCATATATATATATATTAGGAAAAATTCTAAAATTTGTTTACTAAACCAAGCTGAAAAAATTTCATTTAGGTCTGTTCATAAGTTTCCCCCAGCTAATATTGGAGACAGTGTGAGAGTCACTTTACCGGATGACGACAGAGGACGAGCTGACCCAAGGAACATTATATTTGCAGTTGTATCTATTGAGGATGAACAATATTATAAACTTGGCAATAAATATGGTACTTCGCCACATTTATACACTAGAAATCAGTTTGGTATTTGTCTGTTACCTTTAATACCACTTGATGAGATGGTACATGAAGAAATAACATTGAGAGAAATTACGAGTCTAACATCAGATGGCGGTGGTCAAGGATACAAAGGATGTTCATGTAAAGAGAAATGTGACACTTATCGATGTAAGTGCAAATCATCTAGCATTTTGTGCAATTCAAAATGTCATGGAAACATGCCATGTAATAATAAAGGTTAAAACATAAGCAGTTTAATTCTATAGGTATTTAAAATAATATTTTAAGAAATAATTTATAATATATAATGAAATTCAATAATGTATCATTAGTAGGTTAGATTATTAAAAATAAAAAATAAATTCATATTAATAATATTATGTATTTTATGGTAATTACTAATTTATTGTATGCTAATTATATTTAATATTTTTAATTATTTACAATGATTTTATCTCATGCACGTTAAATTTTTATGGTTATTAAGACATTATCCAATAGTTCTTTGCTAATGTCATATTATCCAGTTAATGTTAACATTAGCCAACATTCATGGCGGGTAATGATAACAGTTGGCTAATGTCGACATTATCCAAATGTTAACATTACCCGTAACATATGTACTGCCGAAAAGCGAGGACATGAATAATGCATGGTCATTGTAGATAAAATTTATAAAAATGTAATAAAGATGAGTGATTACATTTTTCTTTGAATTGAATATCTGATTACAACTCAATGCATTCCATTTGAAATTTAGTTTTCACAGCAGTAATATCAACCGAAGATGGTGTTGCGAAAATAGCATAGAGTTGACTATTCTTACGAGAATCTTGAAAACGGTCTTCAAATGCTTTAATTAAAATTAAAATCAAAGAAGCATATTTCTTGCTATTCTTGGGACTTTATTTGACCAACATAAGGAAATACATGCAATTATTCACCTTAACTTGACTTTTTCATAATTTAAGTTTCCGTTAAAAGGCAGTTATTATTTGAAACATATTACCAATGAGTTGATTTTTACCTTGAAGACGCACGTTTAACTCATTTAAATGAGTAGTTATATCAACTAAAAAAGCTGAATTCATAAGCCAGTTTTCATCTTCAAACTCTAAGACAGGTTTTCCTTTTCACTCCATAAACGACTTTATTTCATTTCGCAAATTATAAAATCTATTGTGCATAATATGCGACTAAGCCACTTTACTTCTGAAAAGTAAGCAACGTCTCCAGAACCTGCTTTCATGATTTTAAAATAGTCTTGGAACTGTCGATGATTTAGTCCCTTATCTCGAATAAATGTAACATATTTGATGACAACTTGCATGTTATCCATTTTCAAAACTTTCGCTCATAAATTTTCCTGATGAACAATGCAATGGTATCGCATCAAAGTTTGTTCCCAACTAGAATCGCATGGTCTTCTTCTTACCCACCATTCATAGCACTATCCATAGCTTAATCTGATATATTGACAAAGTTTAAAGAAAATTTATTCAGTGTAGTTTCTACTGCCTCAAACTATAACGAGCTTTTGAAGTGTCTTTTAATGCTACTTAAGAAACTATTTCTTCAAATATATTAAATTCACTATCAATACCTTTAATAAAAATAGTAACTTGTACCATGTCCATTACATCGTTACTTTCATCAATAGCCAACAAATAATATTTGAAAAAATGGACTTTTTCCTCCAGTTTTCGATTCACTTGCTTACAGCCTGATGAGACAGACTAATTTTTGAAAAGTCTAATTTTTTATCAGGACATATTATATCTGCAACACTTTCCAAACAATCCTTAATAAATTCTCTATCAATAAATGGTTTTGATTTTTTTGCAATCAAATATGACACTACATAATTCGCTTTCGTAACGGAATAGGATTCAGAAGTAACTTTTTAATATTGAATTTCTTAAAAGAAAGACGTGTTTTTAATTCTAAAATTTTTTGTTTCCAAAAAAAATCGTTGATAAGAGTCCATTTTGGCCTCATGTTTTTATAAATAATTTCTTTTTAAATTACAATCTTTAAAAACTGAAATGGTTTCCATACAAATTAGGCATAATGCTTCATTTTTCATTTCTATAAAAATGTATTCCGCTGTCCATTTTTCGTTGAATATTCTTCCTTCATTCGTTACTTATCTTTTCTTGTTTTGGGACGACAATTCTCTATTTGATTATATTTATATTTATTTATTAATGGGCGGATTATTAGTTTATTAAACAAATTATAAAATTATTATTGAATAAATAATAATATTGAGCACTAACACCACTGAGAACCGTCTAACTAACCATCTGAAAGTCTGACCATAATGCGTGCATAACTGTATGTCTATACTAAATTACACGTACTTAGCAATAATTCGATATAGGTATTTTATTTTAATTTATTGATAAATGACACGGGATATTGCTATTTAATGTTTAATTTTTGTAGTTTTATATTCTTAAAATAATTTTTTTCTCGTAATACTGTATTAATATATTAAAAATAATTAATTAATGTTTTTTAATTGAGATGAGTGTCGCATTAAAATCTACTACGGGCTGTGGGTTGGACCCCCTGATCTAATGTATGATCAGGTTCATTGGATTCATCAAAATGTTTTTTAATTTTCTTTGTTTATTTTTATATTTTTTAATTGTATTTACAAATTTGTCCTTTACTAAATCTTC